ACTGTCCTGTCTCTCGGGGGAGGGGACTGTATATCCGCGCGATATACCGCGGGATTCGCCACATCAGTCCGGGGGATTGGTGTTACGTCAGCGACTTGCACGCTCGTTCGTGCAATTTATAACTCCCACTTGTGCTTTCCGAGAGTACGAGATCAAGACGAATCGTGCTTCATCCTCTCCACCGCTTAACTTCCAACCGTAGCGCCGCGGTTGACCGTGCTTAATAGTTTCCACTCGGGAAGAGAAAGAGGGAGAGGGAGAGGGAGAGAGGGAGAGAGAGAGAGAGAGAGAGAGAGAGAAAGAGGCACAGTAGGGCTGCGGAAAGGGAAGAAAGGGAAAAAGAGAGAAAGAGGGAGAGAGAGCAAAGGGCGGTAAAAGGGGAAGAGGGCGAAAGAGCGAGAGAGAGAGAGAGAGAGAGAGTTTCTGTCCCGAGGCTAGGCTATAAATCGCATCGCGAAGCTTATCAGAGTGGGATATTCGTCCGGAGTACCGAAGGGCCCTTCCTCTCCCTTGGGAATAAAAGAAGCGCGCGGCGGAGGAGCGAAAAAAGGAACAAGACGGAGGAAGGAGAAGAAAACGATCGAGAATTCAGACTCGGGTTTGCCGACCGGAGCGCTCACTGACCCCTGACGGCTCCGTAGCCGAAGCGGACGTCACGAGAGAAACCTTTACCTTCGTTACCTTGGTAGTATTTAAGGATCTTCCTCGGCGCGCCGTACATACAGCTATGCAGGTACTTAGATCTTTATCCGACATTGGCCGTCATGAGGGGATACTCCACTGAACCTGAAACCTCCTCGAGAGTGCCCCATTATCGGCTCCGCGAGATACCCTCCTCCGTGGCGAATTTTCTGTGAAATTGTACCTTGCGCTCCAAGTACGCTCCAAGGCGTAATAGGAGACGAGTCGAGAGTATTAGAATATTCGATTCGCCGAGTACGTCGAGCGCGAGTGCGAGTGTGATTGAAAAGTCGATTGTCACTGCGGCCGGTAATAATAATAATAATCGCGTCGGCGGGGAGGGAGGGAGGAGGGGGGGGGTCACGATCGTCGAGCGACCGTCGCTTATTCCCCCAATCATCCGAGCGCGTGATCTTCGCGCGAGCGCTGTTTTGCGTAATAAATGCGTGAGTAGATAAAACCGAGGCGGCCGGCTCCGCTTTTAAATCGACGTGTCTCGTAACGCTCGAGTGACATTCAAAGGTACCGAACGCGCGGCCACGTCGACAGGCGCGCTGCTTTAATCGAGATTTCAGTATCGAGAGAGCTCATTTATTCGCCCCACGCGGTCTCGTCACTTTCCTTTAGAGACCACCGAAACCGTAGTCGAGTCGTAGACACTCTTCTCTCGGCTCTCGCGCGCGCGCGCGCGCGCGCGCCATGTTGTTTATCGTTGGTGTTCTCCTCTCTTCGACTGTACTCGCGATTCCATCGGCGCTGATAACGGTACACCGTATACGAGAGCGACGTACGCGCGTAAAAGTATCTGCACGCATTATTTAAGCCCGCATCACCGTCGGCGAAGTCGCGGCGACCGAGATAACGCTGCTACGCTTCTACGAGAGCGGGGCCCACTTTGGAGCGCAGCACGTGAGCCAATTAATTTCTAGAACTGGCAGCGAGTTAATTACATTATCGGTCATTAGTAGACATTTTCTTACGAAATCCGCTCGAAGCAAATCTCGTCTCGCCCGCTCGCCCGCTCGGGGATACGAGCTGTTCGCAGCAACGTTCGGTCAATGGCGGCCGAGGATAATAATTCTAATTATACAATATGGGTTTGCAAGTCACGAATATTGTTGCACCGATGTCCATTCGTGTTGCACAAGCCTTACGAAGCGTTTCCTCGATATTCTCGCTCCGGCTGGAAAGACATTGAGAGACGAAATGCTGTCTGTGCTGGTTCTCACTGTATTCCTATTCGGTATCATCAACCGCTCCATTGTAAAGTACTTCACTGTGTAGTGTGAGCGCACAATACGCAGAATATTTCATTGCGAAGGAATTTTTAACGGAAGGAGAAATTTTTCATCAAATTCACCGACAGCACAAAGGAGACGTTACGTCATGTTACAGGTCTTGTCCTTTCAGTACAATATCGAACTCGACGATGAATCACCGGCTACATTTGAAACAAGATACTCTCCAATATTCTCCAATATTGCCAGAGAGAGAGAGAGAGAGAGAGAGAGAGAGAGAGAGATCACGAGAAATGACGCATTGTTTATAAATGTTAGAAAAAATATTTTAAACGGACAACAATAAAAACAGAATCACCGCATTCGATTGATAGCGACATCGATTCTCGTACGATCCGTCTTGCGAGAACCAAACACCAAAATTATATGGCATAGTGTCGCAAAAGTACATATTTAGGCGTATTTAGTTAATACAAAATATGAAATATATATTGATAGCGTCACACGTGACGTGATACATTGGACATACGCGCTGGGCGCATTCAACAAATCGTTCGCAGCGACAACGTTTCTCACGCAGTATTGTTGCTACAGCGTATAGCACGATAATTCTCGACGCAGTCGCGAAAAATGGCTCCAGTTGTGTGCGCTCGCGTGTGGCTCGCTCTCCGCGCTCGCGAGGATTTATAACTTGATTACATAAACTCACGATAGACAATATCACACCGTTTATTCCGAATTTTTCCTTCGCCGCGAGATCACGAGGATGGATAACGAGGTGCCAAGTTTCATAAGCACATCCTCACTTATCGAACGCCTGCATCATTGACACAATGTGTGTTGGTGCGTAGACACGCGCGCGCGCGCGCCGTACACAGCGCGAGGTGAGTGCGCGAGAACAGCTCGCGAGAGAACCGTCTAAACGTCTTATCAACCTTCATCGGATAATATCGACGAGCCTGAACCTGAACGTAATGTTTATGAGTAATGGTACGAGATCGCGCGACGGCGCGAGGTCGGCTCCGCTGAACCGTACGCGGAATTCGAGATTTAGATACAAGCGCCGAACTTAATGTCGAACAAGCCGCATCGCCGTTACGTGTCAGGTCCATCTGCCGTGTCGGGTTTGTTGTCAGTGCTGTTCCGTTTGTTTGGCATCGTGGCCACTCGATCGCCGTATTATGCAAATTTTATGTCCTCCCACCACGGACGATACTTCCTACCGCGCCTTCAGCTCTGCTCGCCGAGTCGGCTCGCATAGTCGAGTTATCCTTTCATAAATTTCAAGCAACTAATTTTTCTTTCTCTCTCTCTCTCTCTCTCTCTCTCTCTCTCTCTCTCTCTCTCCGTCCGCGACACACACGGCTGAGCTACACAATAGCGCCACACAGTGTGCGCGTTATTTTATTTCACAAACAACGAGCGGCGGCGCACAAATACGCAAATACAATATTCAATACTCCTCGTCCGGTAGCTCCGTCGTAGCTGCAACGAGCGCAATCGCGACTCGCGGAGAGGAAGAAAAAAAGAGTTGAGCCGCGCGATTGAGGAACGCACGCATGGATCAACGCTCGTTGCGGCATCGCACTGTGTTACGCGCCCATGCACTAAATTATAAGATTATTCTTCCGGACGCAAACGTAACGGTTACGGCAACGCATCTCCTCGTCCTTAATTAATGGCACTGCTAACGGACGCGCTAATTAACCGTGGGCGTATATTATGCGTGCGGTTGCGAAATCGACCGTGCGAACATCGGTATATCGATAAAAGTACGATAACACGTTGGCCGCCTTTCACACACGGAGCGAAGGATACGCGCGGGGATACCGCGAGCAGACCTTCCGTGTAATTAAGTAAAAATAGCCAGCGGCTCAGAGAGAGAGAAAGAGAGAGAGAGAGAGAGAGAGAGAAAGGAAGAGACGGCGCGTAAAATTTGTCGATACGCACAACGTGACCCTCGCGAGACGCGCTGGAATCACGGCGTGCGCGCGCGCGCGCGTAAAATCATCCCGCATGTCGCGTATCTGCACGCAGGATCTTCGCAGTCTCACGCGTCAACGGGCTTTATCGAAAGAACAAATAAGCTTGATAATCGCGCGAAGGTACGTTCGATGTACGTTCGATCGTGTCGGGCATTGTCGAAAGCCGGTCGAGAGGTGCCGATATGGTCAGACTTTATCGCTGGATTTCAATACACCCGATAAACTTTCGAGTATGAGGAGAGCCTGATTGCCGAGAGGAAACCTGTATCGAGGGACTCGCTCGCGCGCGGTGAGGAGGGCCAGAGGACGAGAGTGTCGAAGAGGGTGGAAGGGCGCACCGTCGGCGAAGGTGATTCATTAGTCGTACAACACGGAAGTGTTTGGACCATGCGGATTCTCGACATGTTCCCGCTCGTGCGTGTACACGTACGCGTGTGTGAGTGCGTGCGTGCGTGCGTGCGTGCGTGCGTGCGTGCGTGCGTGCATCGGGCAGGACCTCCGGGGCCAAAGCGAGCTCTCTCTTCGTGGGCCTCTGCGCCTTATTATGCGCGACGGAGGCCTCTCTCGAACGAGCCGAGCCAAGCCGAGCCGAGCCGAGCCGAGCCGAGTTTCGGCTGATTTTCGGCTCTTCTTAAAGCTTAAAGGACAGAATATATCGCGATAATTCTTCCCGTTCGATCGCGCGGATCTCAGAGTGCTCCTTTTTCTTTCTTTTTCTCTTAACTTGGCGTTGTCGCTCTCTTCTTCCCCCGTCCCGCCCCTCGCTCTCTCACCACGAGAGTCATCCACCTCGCCACGTACGTACGTGAGAAGTACCCCCTCAGGTAGGCAGGTGGAAACGGATGTAGGGATCGAGATGCGAGAAGGTAAGAATGGCTTCTTAATGCCGCGCCACGATCCACGCGCACGTTACCCCCTGTAGCTAATCTAGAATTTATGTCGCCTGTAACTTGGCGAGGCGCACTTTATTACGTCCGGAATATGAGAATTTCATCTACCGCGTGACCCCGCGACGGTGTGTCGAACGTGGGGTAACCTGATACACCACCTCGCCGGTAAATTCACGGTCGTGTTAGCGAGAGAGGGGGAGGGGGAGGGGAAGAGAGAGGGAGAATAGCTAGCTCCATCCGTTTCCGTTAGGTCTGGCGGAGCCGCGATATGTCGAGCTTATTCCGAGCGCGCATTCGGCGCCGCGCGAATAGCTTATTAAGTTGACCGGTGAATGTCGGCGCGAGCGCATTTGTCGCATATATCGCGAATTTTTCCTGACACAAATATATAAACACAAATGCCGGGCGGCAGCGGGCGAGGAGCGAGGTTTTCGTGCGTTAGAATTGCGTTCGAATTGAGACGCAGCATATTACGCAGTCGTATCGTTCGAGACCATCTCGATCTCTCCCGATCCGTCACTCGTGGTCAGCCTTGCGGCTCCCGCAAGTTCCCGCAAGTTCACCTCCGGCTTAGAAGCGCGCCATCGTGCTTATTAACCGCCGCGAGACCGTTCCCCCGTGTCGCAAGCGATAAAAGCGGGGTCGCCGTCGCGCGCATTCACGGCGCGGAATCATGAAGCCGTCGGCTTCGGTAAGAAGACCACCGAGCTGAGTCTGAGATTCCACCGGAGCATCCATTGGTAATCACGCCGGTGGGGTCTTCTCACGCATCTTCCCGCAAGGGAACCGCGAATTCTGCAAATTGCTTTCTGTTTCCTGATTCGTCGCGGCTCATTCTCCGCCTGCCGATCAAACGGCATCTTCGTCGAGTATAATCCGGAGAATCCGTCAGCCTTCCGTCGAAGCGGATTACGCGATGTGACGCCGGGTGTAATAGGATATAATAGGTCGCCCGGACTCTCTCTCTCTCTCTCTCTCTCTGTTCGCGCACGAACGAAGCGTCGAGCTTGCTCGCGTCGATCGTCGAAGAATGCGCGCTTCGTCGATTTCCAAAGCGGCGAAACTCACCGAGAAATGATCAGCCGGTCGGCCGGCCTCATCGCCAAGCGGAAACTCCGCTCCGACGTCGTGAACGCTCCGATTGTTCGGTCGTTAGTTAAGCACGAGTAAGTAAGACCCCATGGGTCTGATGCGCGTCGATTATACACACGTGCAAATTGATACGCTTTGAGAGTGTACGGCGCGGCGTTTGCCGCCGTGGAGACGTTTCTTGCGTGGCGTTGTCTTTTCATTGCGATTACCATCGGTCGTCAATTACGCTATCGCGAACGTCATGCCGCCAATTACGTTAAGGGAATGCTCCTACTTGGGGGATTTCTCCCTCCGTGCGCGCCGATTAATTACGTATAACGATGCACCCCCCGGTCGAATGAAATGTATCGGCGATATCAGCGCATTCGTATGCGCTGTGTGTGTGTGCGGGTCGGACGGGCCGAGTTCTCTACGGAGATTATATACCGCGGAGATTATATATTATACAATCGTGTAAGAAACGGTAAATCACGAAATGGATGTATCCGGATCGATCGACCGAGTGAAGAAACGAACACGAGGTGGTGCATTTATGATTTGTGCACTGTGCTACTTTTTTTCGCGATTCCGGCTGTATCGGCGATCGGCGACGCGATTACGAAACGTCGCGTTAAACCGTTCGAGAATTTGTACAAGTAAGTACCTTGCGGCCTTAGAAATGCTGATTTAAATCAGCACACCGATATGTCTAGTGAGTGTGACTCTGTCACTCTCTATCTATGTGCCGTTTATCTGCTTACCGCTTGCTCTTGAAAATCAACATTTTCAATGTTGATCTTGAACCATTGTCCATCTGAGACTTTTACACTGCAGGGATACTGAATAAAATTTGCCACTCGTATACGTGGCTGTCGCGCATCAGTTCCTCGCATGTTCATCAAACGTCGGAGACAATTTTCAATCGATGTTGACGCAACGTCTCCGACTTTACACAACTTGCACAAGTGATTCCCTGTCAAACTAGAATAATTTTCCTCAAGTTTACTGAAACTCCATCTGAGAAAACTTATCGTCGATCGAGAAGGAGAGTTTCCTCTTTCTCATCGATCCATAGGTATCAAACATTTCGTTTCCGACATGATTCCGCATCGATAGACGCATCGATAGATTCCTCACTTTGCTTGTAAGAAATGACGAAGCAAATTCGTCGTCGTTTAAACCGTCGAATGGCGAATCGAAAGCACGAAAGCGCTCCGCACGGGCAGCAGCGAATCTTTCGTGATTCAAGGCAAGTGCCGCGCGTGCGTTTGGCTCGCGGCCTCTGTTTCGGTGTTATTTTTAACTCGCTACGCTCTGTGTGTGATGAACGAGTTTCAAGTAGTTGGAAGCTCTCGAACGACCCGTGCGATCCACACGCGTGCGTTTCCTCGTTTCTCGGCGAGTTGTCGGTATGCGATTTTGAGATTTCCGTCCTTTTACCGTTTCGCTCTCATTCACGTTCATCTTGCCACGCGTTCAGCATGCCACAATCGATGGATCTTGTGAACTGTTCGGCAAAACGCACCCCCAAGAGTTGCTGTGGTCGTGAGACTGGAATGAGCAGCGAGCTCGGCAGCTGCGATCATATTTACGCGAGTTTAGTCGACTGCAACAGCAAAATAAATAACGAGGAAGTTGTTCCCGTCAACATCGAGACGGGAACGATAGTATCTACGAATAAACGGTAAGTGACACCTTCGGCATGTATAAAAAAGAAAATTATTCAAACGAATAAAATTGATCTGATATCGTATTATGTAAAGTTAGTCGTAAAGTATGCTAAAAATAGGATTGAGACGTTACTTTCGTACGATGCGTGACGCAAGAGACCTCGTAGATCTATTCTGTAACTTTTAACAACAATGTCACCATCGTCACCGCGCAGGTATAACGCAAAAGCTGCGAATGTCAAAAGCTGGGTAAGCTGACGATCTGGTAACTCTGGTTGCGCAACGACGACAACATTGCAACAACGCTGTCGTTAAAAGTTACCGTGCCTACTGATCATTTCTTTCCAGTAATGAAGATCCTAGAAGAAAGGCCGCTTCTTGGTCCACAAACTCCAAGATCTCGACGCGTCAGCCTTCGCCTGTTTTGGCTCACAAAGTGAACGGCGAAGTCGACGAAGCATCGCCGAGGGAGGTGACGTGTTCTCCGTACAGATTACCGCACGACGCTGACTTCCAGTGTCCCCGGTGTGGGAGGAGGATGGGAGAGCCTAGACTTCTACCTTGCTTGCACCCGATATGTTTGTCATGCGTCTACGACTTGATGAACAGCAGACGTGAGTTGTCGCAAGTTGTCGTATACTTTTGAAGCCAAGAACGGCCATTCAACGGCCAACGATAATCGATTGTTGCCACTGTAGTGTTCAATCGCGCTAATTAGCTAGATTAATCGTGCGAAACAGAGAGAGAGAGAGAGAGAGAGAGAGAGAGAGAGAGAGAGAAAGAGGGAGGGAGGAAGGGAAACGTGTCAACTTTCGTATGTTGCAGCCTTGTACGTTACTCCGAGCAGCGATACTACAGGAGACTACAGTCGAACGTACGCGACAACAATCAGCGTTCGCGAGACGTGTCCGTTGTGCGATTCGTACTTGCCGAACGTCAACTCCCCCATGCCGCCGCCGCATTATCCTCTGCAACATCGTCTAGTTATGGACACTGTACGGCGCAAACTGGTCAACAGAGTACTCTGCGACACCTGCGCAGCCGAGGTCCCGGTAAAACGATGCGCGATATATTGTCGCTTCGAATTGTCCTTTCATCCCGTTCTCTATGTCAGGAGATACGATTTTATGCGAAAAACAAGCTTTTCAGAACGGAATGCGAGTATAACGACAGAAATGTGTCGTGAATATTGGCTTTCTTTTTTAAGGCGCTCATACAGTGCTCCACGTGTTTGCGTAATTTTTGCTCGGAATGCGGCAGGCAGCACGAGCAACAGAGCATTGCGGATACGAGAACGACGAAACATTTAATGAGGCCGTTGTGGGAGGCCACCAGAGTACGACGGATGATTCTGTGCCAGACACATCCGATACATGCCTTGAGATTTTACTGCATCGCGTGTCAGCAGGTTTGACGAGACTCTTCTCTGTTAACGCACGCGATCGCACTATCGAAAGCAAAATGTATAGAAATATATTCAATGGCTTTTTGTGCAAACAATATTGAGAGCGCACGGTTTTCCAGGTGACATGTAAGGAATGCATGTGGAGCGTACAGCATAGAGGGCACGCCAGCGAAGACGCAGTTGGAGTGGGAAAACGAGCCAGTGTCTACCTGACAACAATGTTGCAAAGAGCGAGAGTAGTCTTGAATAATCTGTTAACTCAGTACGATTACGACGTATTTTCGAACAACACCTTCGAGGAGCAGCAAAACGTAGAAAAATCTTATAGGTACGTATGTCTGATTTTACTTTTGTATGTCGTAAACCAGCAACTATACGAGTTGCTGCACACTTCGAGCGAACGTGACTACGCAGCCGTCCTGCGATATAATATAATTTATAATATATGGGACCACACAAAAATCTCATCTTAATATCGTTGTACTAAAGTGCAATTGTCATGTGATCGGTATGATAGCAGTGAACGAACGAGTAAACTTGAAAGAAAAACAAATGCTACGACGTAACTGTCATTTGAGGTACGAAGTATATTATACATTCCAAGGATTCGTAATTTAGTGTGTAACTTGTCTAGGCTTAGTTACGTATATTTTGTGGACATTTGTAGTTAGTTAAAAAATATTAATGTAACGCAAATATAAATTTATAGTCTCATCATCCCATCACTACTATTCTCCTTCTCCCCGATAAGAATGTTTTTCTGCGACTTTAAAATTATTAATTTTAATTATTAACAACACGATTCACAGAGAATACGAATAATAATTTCGCAGTACTTGGATTACGATAAATTTCTTCTTTAATATTATAACAGTAAGTCTCCGAACAGTTCCCATTTTTCCAGCTTCATCGCTTGAAGAAAATGCGAGCTTTAAGAAATTCTACGCTCTGAAGTGATACTTTTACCTTTTTCTGCGTAATTTATATCCGCCGAGAAAAAGCGAGAATAATCGAATAAAATTTTCTACCCAGAGAAAACATTGCTTTTATTATCTTATTAAGACTTACAGCGTAAGTTGATGTATAGGTTTTCGCATGATTAAGCAACGTCCGTTGCGCAATACAGATCCACAGCAAGACCAGTGGTTAACACCGGGATGTCCGACGTGTCCATGACCGCAACCTCTATATCCACCTTTATAGAAAAAAATCAAAACATTCTTGCTTATCGCTTATAAACACGAGATACCTTAAATTCTGTCTTTACAAATTTTAAACGCTTCTCGTTGAACTTTTTGCTCATAATGTACATGATCTACAGCTACTGTTTGTTGTGTGTTTGATGATCTCATTAATATATTAGCAAAGTTGAAGTGATACTTACCGGGCATAGTGCCTCTACAACCGCAGATTACTTCTTTCTTCCCTCCGCTAGAACAAAATGTGCAGCAATGATAGATGCCACTATGAGTGAGTCTCGAAGCCGATAATCTCGCGTTCCTACACCAACGTTCTACGGCAGAATAGAATTCTGCTACTATCTTCCACAAGAGATACGCAAAACATATATATATATACATATATATATATACACATGTATATATACATATAGATGTAAAGTACGTACCATCTTCTCTGTCTGCATTTACGTTCGTCACACCCAACTTATTTAATCTCCTCACTATTATGCCGGCGAGCGTTAGTACTTCTATCTCCGAATCGTCGGCAAGCAAGTCGTTCGCCAGCGAAATAGCGTCTAGAAGATACCTTGCTCTTCGTAATCGATCGTATTCTTGTATTCTCTCTCGGGCTCGTTTCACGTGGTACAATAAAATATTGTAGTCCCACAAATTAGGAAAGTCTTCCGCGCTACTCTCAGCATATCTAAATCAGAGAAACTTTTGCTTACTCACGTAAGCCTGTGGAATAAAATAATCTACATAAAGACAGTGTAATATAGACACATGTGCTAGACATTGTAGATGTTGGCTAATAAAAATTGTTTAAGACAATGACAGTACAATGATAAATTTGAACAATCGTAACGTTTCCTTTTTACATTGTGTTTAATAATAAATATATATATATATATATGCGTGTGTGTGTCTGTGTGTTATGAGATGTTATACAAAATATTACACGATGAAAACATTGTCATGTGATATTTATCTTCATCTTAACGTATCGATATCATCTCTGTTATCATACGAATATACAAGATAGATATACTTTTGTCATTTGAGGTACTGATGTGACGACGCATCGGCCGAATCGGTAAGACACGATTTAAGCGCTTATGTTTACTAATAAATATCTAATTTAGGAAGATGTTACGCAATTAAATTAAAATGTTAAACCTAAATAAAACTTAATCGTACCGCAAGCCATAAAAAAGTAAATTGTTAAGTATGAATAAGTTGTATGGGCTTGAATATATTATACATAAATTTACATCTTCTTTGCATTATTTCCTGAAATAGAAAAATACTATTCGCAATGCAAGCTATATCTACAACAATTCTTCAGTGTGTAAGTGATAAAGAGTGCTCTGGTCGTCTTGTCGCTGGAATCTGTATTATATGCTGCAATTAAGAGCCACTCCTAAGAAATCTTCAAATCCGATGGTGATTGATCCAATTTGATCTGTATCTCTTGCTCTAAATGCTTCTGTAACATGACACATATTTTTATAAAAAAAAAAGAGGCTAGATTCTGTTCCAAAGTAATTATCAAATTGTTATCATAAGTATTATTTTAAGATATTTAATATAAAGTAGCAACTTTGGTATACATTGATAAGTCGAAATATAATTCAATAGTTCAATATTACCTCTATATTATATATATATATATATAATTATATATTTTATGCATAGGCAAAAGTTTAATTACCTGTAAACCTTTGTATCTGAACACATAACACTATGAACTGATCAACAGTGATGGACTGATGACCATGAAGATCACTCTTTTTTATAAGAAATTGTATGAACTCTGGACTAAGTTTATAACCCATTTGTGTCAGAGCTGCGCTTAATTCGTTCTCTTGTATACTGCCTGAATTATCATGGTCAAAACCACGAAAAACACCCAGCCAAGCATTCACATAATTGAATAAAGCTTGAAATTCTGATATATTTATTGTGCCGCTCTTTTCTTTATCAAACATACCTGGTGATCAAATAAAATGATCTTTGCCAAAAAGACCCAATTATTATCTTAACCATAGGTTAACGTACTATTAATAGTTAACTTTAAAAACAGTAACAAGCATACCAATCATTAATTTACACGCTGTGTCAGAGAAAGTACCACCCTGACCATTAGCTAATACTGACTGCAGTTCTGTGGCTGTTATTCGCCCACTCCCATCTCTGTCCACTGTGGAGAACCATCGTTGGACATCAGGATTTACCTGAGATTCGACAGCAGTGGAGCCATACATTGCGTCCTTCAAGAAACAAATAGGATATGCGTAAATGTACAGATTTCGATAAATTGCAGCATAAATTGAGGCTCATTTTTTTTTTACGATAATTATCAATACGCTAAAAATGTCAATGTTTGTGAATAAATCAATAATAGCAAAAATCACAAGAAAATAACGAAATGTGTGGCGACCATCTTCGTCAATGTTAATAAGGTTATTGCTTCTAATTACCGGATATGCCATGATTAAAACTCCCTTTAATCACACGAGAGCATACAAATTATGCTGCAAAGTGCTTTTTCTTAAATTGTCACCACAAGATTCCCGATTAACGATGACGTTACACGCCAATAGCGTACTTTATCGGAGAATGCACTGTAACAAATGAAAAAAGTCTTGATTCTTGTGACGTAAATATCACGATGTTTCTATATTTGCAATTAATTTTAGTTTCCACACAATTTTCAATATAAATTTCTTCTCACGTATCAATCACTCTACAGCTCCCGATGGCGTTGCGATCTCAAACCATTAATTTGCATAGAATATGTGTATATTAGATAAGCGTGATAAAAATGTTAAAATGTATTTTCAACTGCAAATGCACGGAGAGATTGACGAATCACGTATCTGATATAAAACACTATAGCTGCGTTGCGATATTCACCAGAGAAAAACCTGAAATCGGCCAACATGGCATTTTCTGCGACACCGACTTTCCGCATTGGGAAAGGACGCCATCTGCATCCATTTTGAGAGGGGACTACGATGCTACATCCACTTTCAGACGGTTCATGTCCGTGCTGCAACCATAGTTGCTATCTCTATGCTAGACTATGTCCGGAGGACTCTCTAAAAAGAGCGGGGGGGGGGAAGGAGGGGAGGAACAGGAAAAATAAAAGTACGTATTAAATATTAAATACATATCGCCGTATCAAAATCTCTTGTATAATAAACGGTTTGACACGTCTGGAGACGCATGATGTATCGTTGCCCGCGTCCCGTTCCCTTCTTCCTGCTTCTCAATTCAGCATCCCGTCCGCTCCGGACATTTGCTCGTGGCACTGACAGTGGCCATCGGTGAGCATTCGATTCGCTCGGAGGAGCACGCGTTAATTAACGCGACGAGATTCCGATTATAAATATCCCGCGAGTCGACGAAATATCTGAACTTTTAAAAAAAGCATCAAAGAAAATCACGTTGATGTTGTTATGGGTGAAATCTCACCCTGGTATATATTTTTTTATTTTCGAAATAAAAAAAGCCAAACGAATGTAATTAAATGTTATTTGTCATCATTGAATATTAGATGAAAAGTAGAAGAGTTATTGTCCGCAGCGGATAATCTAACGTTTAACAAGAACGAGACAAAATTCGCATGGGATGAAATTCCTCTGTTTAACGTTACCATGACCTTTAATTATTCTCCGAAAACGACGTCGCAACAACTTTAACACTCTGCACAATTAGTTGCTAACACATTTTCTAATCGTACACATTCCTCTTTAATTAACATAAAGCTAACAAATATCCGATGCTTCGACAAAATAATTTTCTTCATTTTCAATGATCAATAAATAGTAAATCAATATCGCGTACAGTTGAAAGGCCTCCTCGCATTCTCTTCGTTGTTTCGGAACCTTCGAGAAAAGAAGAGACGCCCAAGGGCAAGTCTCTCTTGCTTCAACCGCCGCCGAGGCCCGCAATGTTTACATCGCGCCGATTGTGTTGATCGGCTCGCGAGCGACGACACTTTTTGCCCTTCATATTATAATACTCGCGCGCCTCGCGTATTCCATCAGCCTCATTCCATCAGCAGCAGCCGTGCGCGATGCGCTCGTCACTTCCGTCTCGCGTAATTGAAAGAAATGTATCTCGTCGGTCCTCGAGATACTTAATCGGCATCGCGTCGGCATCGTGCTGATTAATCGTACGGTTGAATCGGCATTAGAAGCGTGAGCGAGTGAAATCCGGAGGACTCCAGCAGCCGGTAAGCAGGACGCCGACAGCGATACGTCACATTTCCAGGTATGTGGAATCATTTATTATGCGGGAGGTCTCCAATAACGAGAGCGGACGTTTGACGAATTTTCCGGGAATAAGAAGTCGGAATTTCGCGCTCGGCATTCACAATCCGTCATCATCCGACTAGTAATCATGACTTTATGAATCTGCAATTACTCTCGTCAATCTCTGTCTGTTTATCTATTTATTTCGTTGTTGTATACAAAAGATATTGATCCAGACAGAGACGGATAACGGTCCATGAACGCGAATTTCTAATTCATCATGTTCTCAATCAAACATTCTGAATAATTCCCAACTGTACGAATATACCAGTCTTGTGTAGAATATTCAACGTCATACCTTCTTCTTAGACTGCGACCTTTTTTTGTTTTCGGTCAGCGCTTCTTTCAAGTCTGTTCAACTCTCGTTACGGAATCTAAATTTAAATGTCCATTCGTAAAAGAGTATTTTCGAGAGCACACAACTGTTGTCTCCGCTTCTTGTTGTCATTTTTTTTCGTCAGCTCTTTCAAGAGCTCCAAGTCCTATCTAGACTGTCAATGTCAATGAAGAAAAAAAACCGTAACGAATATTCTCCACTTATCCCGACCAAAAATTCTTTCTCTACTGCTTATCAACCAGATAAGAACGCTAAATTTTTGTTCCAGACGTTGCGGGAAGCAAGTCCGGCGGGCGCGGATGCCGCACCGGAGGATCCGGTTCGGGCAGAGCAGAATCGGCCGGAAGGTAAAGTTTACAAGTTTCCTACACATCTATGTTCAACTCTTTACCTTTGCAACTTGTTCCTCATCAGCTCTCTTGAAAGTTTCATATCTCGTTTAAATTTTCTATGTTGGAACAAAAATATAAAGATAAAAATCCCATATCAAAATTTCCGTATTTTCGATTTGTCTCGATCAAAGATATTCTCTCTCTACTGCAGGTTATCAACTGGAAAAATTATTTTTCTGTTTCAGTTGTTGCGGAAAGCAGCAACAATCCGGCAGATGCGGATGCCGCACCGGAGGATCCGGTTCGGGCCAAGCAGAGTCGGTCGGAAGGTAAAATTTACAAGTTTCCTACACATCTGTATTCAACCATTTACGATCTTTGCCTTTGCAACTTGTTCCTCATCAGCTCTCTTGAAAGCTTCAAGTCTTATTTAAATTTTCAATATTGGAACAAAAATATGAAGATAAAAATTCCGTATCAAAATATTTCTGTATTTTCGATTCGTCCCAATCAAAGATGTTTTCTCTCTACTGCAGGTTATCAACTGGAAAATTATTTTTCTGTTTCAGTTGTTGCGGAAAGCAACAGCAATCCGGCGGACGCGGATGCCGCATCGGAGGATCCGATTCGGGCCAAGCAGAGTCGGCTTGAAGGTAAGTTTACAAGTTTACTATAGTCCTCTGTTTGACTCTTGGCGATCTAGAGCTGGGATATAATTTCCGCCTCGACTTGAATTACGATCGCAGAGGGTAAACTCTCCTCTTGTACTCGCCCGCACTCGTTGATCTGATCTGATGAGCGAATGTGAATTTTTTGTTACAGAATTGAAGCGGAACGTGGCCGACTCTGACTGCAAGTCGTTTCGGTAAGTGAATACAAAATGAAAAGAGAAACGAAATTCCGCATGACGGATGTAGGACTAGATAAAATATCGTTCGAGTCAATGCAAATTGCAGATAGATTCTTGCATGTGTGTGTTTGTGACGTTGAATAAAATACATTGCTCGAAACAATCAGGGGATTACTTAATCGATAGCCTGCATTACATATTTAGAGATTTAAAATACCGAATGATTCTCTTTTGATGTTTAGTCATCTGAATAAGAGATATTCATATCTACAAACGCGATACGGTCATCAGCTGCTTTATTTTCATTTTTCAAGCGGGCCGCAGAATTATTTAACGATAATTATTTGACAATATTCAATTGTCCGTGTAAAATATATTCATACGCATAAATGCCGATACCGTTGGCTATTTTTCTTTTATTTCCAAAACAGGCTGTAAAATTATTTGGCAATATTGTCCATTCATCTCGATCCCTATTGTCTCGAGTAGCGTATAATGCGCCAGAAATTGCGCAGAGATTGCGCCAGCGCACGCCGAGCTTGAGGTATCCTCGCTCGCGTGCCTTTGAATATCGCGACCGCGGTTATTAATATACGCCTTTTTACCCGCGCTTCTAACAAAGAAAGCTTAAATTCTCATTTCGTTAAAGTATCGCGAACGTCAAAGTAAGCTTCGTCGTGACGGAATTATCATGCGTGAAAACTTTGCCTCGCTCTCTCTCTCTCTCTTTGCGCTCCCTCGAAGCGACCGGTTTCTAATTGTCTAATCTTTCCTCGCATGCATTCGCGAATATTCTCGTAGATATCGATACTCCCGCATTTTCGCGACTTTTCAGGCGCGATCACGAAAAGCGTCGTAAAAATCGGTTGGACGAGTCGATAAATTTTCACACGGTTCTTGCTCCTCGCTGATCGAGTTTATAGACACTGTTTCGTAGCGCGTAAAAAGTTTCCACCGAAGTTGACGTAAAACGTTCGTTAATTGACGCAAATATCGCCGCTCTAATGCAAGTATAGACCGCGTCGCGGAAGTGTGGCGAAAGTGTAGCAATCAACGTGGGACGCGCTGCAAGACGGATGCTGCGCAACATGGAGAGCGGCAGCGGACATGGGCGGACATTGGTGGATCTAGTTGGATGCAATGGAACATCACCAATATCATCATCGGTGAGCGTTTGACTCAATGCTCGCAGAGAGCTCATTTATTATTACATTGTGCATGCCGCAAATTTGCATTGACTTTTGTAACGAAAAGTATATTCCATGAATTATTGCCATATATTATGGCCATATATTATTGCCATATATTATTGCCATATATTGTTGACGTATATTATTGCCATATATTATTGCCACATATTGTCATGTATTATCGCCATATATTATGGCCACTTGAAATCGCGCAAACAATCGAGAAAACCGAATTTGCTGATAATTGTAAGAGCGCGCGGCAAATGTCACGGACGGATGACAGCGTCCCGTCTCAAGGTTACCCGATAACAATGCTCTTGCTGCAATTTAACTTCAAACCACAACGGCCTCCGGTAGCAGAAAACTTTCCATCGCGGACTAACCCCTCGAGCGGAATGTTCCCGAAAAGCGCATTTGACATAAACGCTGGTTACAAGCGAACTTGCCTCGTTCGGGCCTCGTCGCGGTATCGTTGTCGCGAAAAATAAGGAAGAAAGGAGTTAAGCATCCGCACCGTTGTGAAAAGAGGGGGAGGGGGGCGATCGCATCCCTACGCGAGTAGAATGTTAGGTCCTTGCGAACGCGAGCGTCAAATTCCACCGCGGCTGCGAACGTCCTCCGACCAGTTTCTTCGCGGAAACAGCTCAAGATATAGTAACGCGCTTTTGCCACAATATAGTACTGTATCAACCCTATCCTCACCATAAATTACGACTCTCAACTCCCAGTAGAAGCGAAGATATCAACGGTACAAGTTGGAAAACTTTAACTTTCGATATCTCTTTTTCTTTTTTGGTCACGCAGGGGAAATCCTCATGGATACCCCCGTCCTTTTGAGGAGGGCGGGGGTTATGTCGGACTCCTACTGTCTAAAACCCCTGCGGGGTGCCTACCTCTCGGATCCTGTTGGGGGGTGGCAGGGGAACTACGCCTGCATTCCCTTTCCGGCACCCCGGCCACAAAATAACACCTTGCCCGTTGTTGTCGTTGTCGTTGAGAATATTAAGCATATTAGTCTAACAAATTAATTTATCGAAATATAATACAAGAGAATAAATGACAAAAATAATGGTATTCATTAATATTCTATATTTTGTACACTTATTAACTTAAGTTCATATAAGACATATTCTCAGTTGTACAATGATCGTGTTATTGAACTACTTGCCATATGATTAATATTCGCTATATATACTCTATGTTACAACAACTTAATTCTTCAAGCACAGACGAGATTAAAATGCAACATAACCTTGCACTAAACTTATCCACAATGACATATTCTATTCTCCACCTCTATATCATTCTGTTGTTCTTCTCATTTTGCTATTCCTTCTTCTTCTTTTCTTCTTTCTCAATTTGTGTCGCACGTCATGTATGTATATATGTGTGTATGTGTGGATATTTTATCATGAACAGAAATATGATCATTATAATTTAAGACGAGACGATAAACTTAACCATTAAATATCATCTTTAGTAAGGCAGTACAATAATCTCGAAAAGAATAGAAACAAAAGAATCATTTTTTTTTACGATATCTCGTTAACTGCGTAATTTCAAATTAACGCGTATCGAGTGCCTTGCGATAAATGTTCGACAACGGAGAGAAAAAAAGGAAAATGGAAAAATTTACCGTTTAAAGGGAAAATTTTCGCTAATTCCTCTGACTATGCTCAGGATTATTCAAATATACTTAACTACTATATACGAAAAAAGAAATAATTAAAAAATATACTCTATACGACGCCTGTACATTCACCAAGAATTCGCAAAGAACCTCGTTATTTATTTTCCCGGTTACACTCGAATAGAAAAACATTTGCCTCATCACATAATTTTCGAAACAATTCCATGTTTTTTGAATGTCGACAAAACTAAATTTTTATATCTTAATTTCCCGTCATATTGCAAAATAAAAAAGAAATAGAAACATGCCCATCATCGTCGACAAAAAAATTCGCGTTTTTTGTATTTTGTTTCTCTTTTTCTTTCTTCTTTTCCTCGTCTTTAAAAATCCATTTATATCCGTGTATTATCTAACCGACACAATTTCACACAGCTTACTTTGTAATTATAATAATCCGCATAATACAATGAAATACCGATATATGATCATAACACGCTCATATTAAATGTACATTAAAAGTTACTCGAATCTAAATAGTAACACACTCTCATTATACTTTTGTCTTTTTGTAATATTTATAACATTTAATTCTTAAATAATCTTGTATAATATTTTCTTCTTTTACAATTGTTAATTATACATTAAGAGTGTCGGTGTGTGTGTGTGTGTGTGTGTGTGTGTATGTCTGTAGAAATTACGAATTAGTGGATTAAACACCTTGCCAAAATCACATGAAATACAACTTTAATCCGAAATCATGTTTTCTTCGTGATTTATCACGTAATAGCGGATGAAAGATTACAAAATCTCACGACTTGATGTAACTAAATAAGTCTGTCGTTGGGATGTGGATCAAGATCCTCGGGGTAACTTTCCACAGTCCTGATAAGCTCCTTTGTAACACCCAAACTCCTATTTCTCCGTCGTGGTGGAGTAGGAACGTGCTCGAAATCTCCGGTTACGTCTCCCGATAACTTTGGAAACAATCTCACAGGTTTCTCGGGAACATCTCCGCTCGAGCTCGCGTTGTCCTTGCTTGTGGTATTGATATTCTCGGTGAAGCTGTGGAACAAATCCGAACTTGACTCGAGGTCCGATCTGGCGGTAGAATCCTTGAAATCAGCACTCGTCGTGTAGTGTGCACTCACGAGCGCTTCGGACTCCGCGCCATCTTTCGGATCGATTTCTCTCATGGACTTGTCATCCCAGGTACAAAACGACACCTTCCGCATCTTCGGCGTTGACTTTGTATCACCGAGGATTTGTTCCAACGACACGGACAGTCGTTGGTCCGTCTTACATTCGAACGTCCTACCGACTAGAATGTCATCGTCGCTCGCTGAGCGATGCTGATTCATCACCACAGTTTTGTCGATCGCATTGCGCTTCTCCACAGGCACGATCTCCGGCTCAAGAAGCTTCTCGACGGGGCTCTGAGCCTGCTTAGTGTCATCGTCCGCATTCTCCAGCCGTTTTATCATTTCCTCGGGTTGATCTTCCTTTTCCAACATGTCAGAGAGCGCCACTTCCAGCTCGGTGAGACTCGGCGTCATCGAGCTCAAGTTACTCCCTTCAGCCGCCTCGTCGTTCGGTACCTTGAGCAGGGTCGAATGATCGTTTTCCATGATCTGAGCTTTGATCTTTGGCTCAGGGCTCGGCGGTGGCGTCTTTACACGATGATCCTGATTTTTTTTCAATTTATTGGTCGTATCCTTGGCCAGCTTCTCGTCGAAGAAGTCGACTATCTCCTCCTCGTCCACCCCTTCCACCATCTCCTGCGGCAGCGACTCCTCCGATATCGTTCTGATTAACTTGTTCGTTATGTCAGAATGTACATACAATTCCTTCGATTCGTATGGATCATCGTAGGGCTCGCTCTCATTCGACAAGCTACGGCCAAAGATCAACCTCGATTGATCGGATCGATCCAATTCCCGGATGACAGCACCGTTCTTGCAGGATCCGCCACCAATCGTATCTGTTGAATGGAACGTTTGCGGTTTAATTGATCATATACCGAAATATTTTGCATCGCGATATATTCTACATCCTACATTCTGGACCCTATCAACCAGGATGGAATATTCAAGAGAGCTAAATTATAAATTACCTTCAACTAGAGCACTCTCCAACTAGAAAGGTCATTTTTAACGCACATATTGTGGACTTCATACGTGATACACCCAACTTTCAAGCGCGGCTTAAAAAAAATTGTGCCAATTGTTACCCAAGGCTGAGCGGTGAAGTTCCTCGTCCAGATAAAAGGGTTCCTTGTGAACCGCCGATGTCGTCGAATCGCAAGCTAGTGATCCTTGAGAAACTACCGATATCGTGGGTGGATCAAAGTACTTTAACGAGCTGAGAATCAACGAATTCATCGCGCATTATTATCTCGTATATGAATCTTTCGAATATGCGAGGTATATGTATATCGACGTATACACGTATATCGGAATATATACCTGCTTTGCTCAACGAACCAGTCACTGGGATTTTTAGCAGAATCGAGCGACGGTACCATGCCGAAAGTTTCGGGCTTCTGCAACGGCGAGGTCGTATCTCGGCGTACGCATGAAACTCCGACCCCGATCGTTTCAGCTTCCCCAGTCTCGACGTTTTGCGAATAATCCACAACATCCGCACCCTTGGAGAGTCCTCTCTCCGCGAATTCGTCGTGATGTGTTTCGACTCGCGGCAAATTCTGGAATTCAGGTATAGACATGTGTATGTGTGTGTGTGTGTGTGTGTGTGTGTGTGCGCGTGGTGTGAATAAACGAACAAGCGCAAACACATTTCCCTTCTCTCGATCGATTGTTGCACAAAGAATACAGATGAGCTCTTACAGATAAGTCGGAAGAAATGCATTATTTTCTTCGTGGGGAATCGTCGAAATTGAAAAACGCGAAAATTAAAATCCTTCTTATTCACGCGAGGGAATTCGTACGCGTGTCTTTCATCCGATCTGATCCGCGACTCGGGTAATGAAAATTTCACGTTCCCGGAATTCTATTCCTCTTCCCGCCCATGAAACAGTCGGAAGAAAACACAACAGCTTAATAATATCGATTTCAACGCAATTCCGCGTTATTATATAAACATACCTCAGAATCGGAGAAATGCCGATTCGAATCGCAATTACTGATGTCGCTAAGGTCCCAATCTTCCAATTTACTTGGGTCGTACTTTATAAAACCGCCGTCGGTGACCTCGTTTTTGCTGCAGCCCAGGTTGCCCAGCACCTGATATGGCGACAGATGCTCGACACTGCCGCGCCGCGGTATGTAGTCCTCGAGACGTACGCTGGTCTTCTATAATCGAAATGAACGAGCGAGTGTTTTAAGCTTTATTTAAAGACAAAAAGTAAAGGAAAAAGAAATATCCAGAAAAAGTTCGAGAGATGCAACTACTCTCGCGGGCGATATAATGACCAATCGCGTACGAAAATCGACGACTTAAGACAACAACATGTGCCTGTGTATCGCGCTATTAGAAATTGTCTTGGATAAGCTACATATGCGTGCATCTCGATATGTCAATTTTTGTCTGATACTCGATCTTAACGAGTCTCAATGAGTCTTGCGTGGATTTATTTGTACCGTGTGTTCAAGGACGCTCTCATGTGATTCTCGCGGATATCCTACGTATATCGTACGCGATTTTTCAAGGCATTTGATCGATAAAATACGACGGGGAATTATAATACTGAACCTCGGAGAAAGGCGACAGAAAAGATTCAGCCGGAAGCGAACCGGTGCTGCTTCTGACGGGTCTCTTTAGCTTCATTTTCTCCTCCAAGCCTCTCTCGCCCTTCGTACTTTTCGCAGGATGCCTAGATACGTCCAATTCGTCGTAATTCGGCAAGCTAACGGTGCTGTAATTTTTCGTCCTTGCATTTGCTTCCGCTCCGTCGTCCCTCGACGAGTCCCCGATCTGCTCCTCGAGCTCCTCCGACTTTTGTTTATCCTGGCGATTAGGAGTCGAAGAGCCCTTCATCAATTCGCTCCTGGCGAATCTTTCATATTCCTCGTTTTCATGAACTTTTCCGTGATGATAGTCTGGCTCCGAAGTCCTCCAAGTTTTCTTGTCAGTGAGCATACGTTTGCCGGAAACCATGTCGCTGAATATTATTCTTCCGGTGCCGTTAACCTATTGAAGGAAATCATCACTTTGGTCATCGAAGTCGCGAAGAATTCGAGATTAGCCTCCCGGCAATATGTACATGTTACATGTGTTTCTCGTATTTTACTCGGCTGAATGGATTCGAAGATGTTTCACGAATGCGTTCAATCCGACGATAATTTTAAACAAGTAGAATTTGCTCAAAATCTTTTTATTTTCTATTTCTGACTTAAAATCAGAAACTTCGCGTTCCAATTGTGCATATTTTTTGTTTTCTCAGGTTTTTAAATAACATTGCAGAGAGGAGATAAAAAAGAAACAGTTTCGGATCGGATGACGAATATTTCATCGTTTTTTTATCTGCCGAAGCTGAATGTGCAAAGGATGCTTTATTTTCTAAGCAATTCTTGTAGTAAGAATGACAATAGGACTTACTTTGTGTTTATAGATCTCCCTCGCTTTCCGCCTCTCGTGCTTCGTATCTTCCGTGCTGATTTTGCTCGGTCCTTGCGTCTCGACATCGTCGTTTTGATCGTCACTGATCTCTTTCAGTGGCTTGACCGACAGATGTAACGGTTCCTCGCTCGTGTTGCCGTGTCTCAAATTGGTGGTTACATCCTCAAGAATCTCGTCTGGTTTCGGTGGCAATGGTCTGCCCCTGTTTGTCTTCTTTCGTCTCGGAGGTGGCACAGGGGTGATATTCTTCAAATTGGAACCTGCAGTATCGACAATCGAATATTCACAACCAAGCTATCATTGCGAATCATCATAACTAACTCGCGCGTAGTCGTGACCAACCAACAGTAGTCGTGACTAAGTGTAGCCGATACCTCTTTATCACCGGTATAGAGTAACGCCAGGATCGCGAATAAATTTAATGACTTTAATAATATTTAACAAAATCGGCTCACCATTACTATTCTCTTCCCTATGCGCCATTATCAGCAGCAGCAAATGGTATCAGCACGACTCGTTAAACATTTATATGATAGAGCGATAAAATACGAGCTCACGTGCGCAGACAGGCAACAAAGAGAAAAGAGAGCCGTTAAATTTGCACGAACCGGCCTCACGCATCGGTGATGATGCTCTCTCTCTTTCTCTCTCTCTCTCTCTCTCTCTCTCTCTCTCTCTCTTCCGTTATCGCTTCGTAAACGGATACTTGAAATTGCATTTCGTCGTACGAGACGCGAGATAAAATGCTACCTTGTGACTCGCCATGGTCAAAACTAACGGATATTTCACGTGATATACTGCGATACGTATAAAAGAATGTTGACCCCGTCAACGCCAAGTTAAAGACTCGCGAAAAAAAAAAGTGAAGGAAAAGAAAAATGAAAGAGAAAGAATTATCCGTGGGGAGGATCAACGATTTGACGATTCTCAACGTGATGCCGCGCACCGTGTGCCTCTTGATTAATTTGGTTTCGCTTTGTATCGCGCTCTCCACTTATGTTCAAACGTGATTCACTGGCGATGAATGATTAATGCTTACAGCTGAACGTAGCGGCGGGATAGGGACTAGTGTCGGCGGTTAAATTCGTAAGAACGGAGCTTGTTCTTGGCGGGCTGGGTACTTCTAAATTAACATCTACCCAGTCGCTAGGATGAAAGGGCCTGTCCACCGAGTCTATGCTCCGGCCCCTCGTAAGCACCTCCCTCGGCGGTGAACCGGCGTATCCTATCTCGGAGCTAGGCAGAAAAGATTAAGTGGATCTCGCGTGTACGTCATTACGAGCACGCACATACGCCCGAATATAAATATAAGCGCAAAGTGATATCGAATTTAATACGCGTATTAATCGAACGCAACCGTATATGCGATTATGCCGTTAGCAATACACAGAAATCTATTGCGATGTGCGCGTTCACGGTATCAGCTCTCCGGTCGACTGCATTTCCTCTCAGCGATACGTACTGTGTGGTGTTGTTGCGAGTAATTGAAAAGAAACATCGGTATCACATTTATGCATAGTATCCAATAGCTGATACATCACGTTACGTTACGTTAATAACGTTATGTGTATCCGGAGAACCTAACGAATTTTTTCTTCGAACAAGAAATCGCGAAATATAAATAATCGCCGGTGAAATCGCGCGACCTTCGATCAGTAGGAAATCATTGAGACGCTACGTCTCTATACGTAGTCGACAGTATAAGAACGATCTAACAAATCGCAACAAATAATATAGCAGGTTAAGGATTGTCCGAGACCTGCTTTGTAAAGCATGATCGCTTACAGAAGGAGCGTCAAAGAAAGAAGCGCTTGAAAAACCTCGCGCGTACGCGTCGCGCGTGCACCTGTTCACGCACGTGTTCATGCAACTATAGATCGCAATGAGATAAGACGCAGAGGAATGCTTATGTAATAACTAGATGAGAGATATGATATGTTTGACGACAATAAATTAGAGGTATTAATCGGCCGTACGTGTATGTAGCAATGCGAGGCCGATCACCCGATCGCCGCCACCGCTGCTACTGCTGTTTTACTACTGCGGCGAACTTATCAATCGGTCTAATCATTTCCTCGGCAGAGTGAAAAATAATCTAATCGGAATAGCCCCACGTGTACCGGTTGCTGAGAGGGAAATAAGAAAAAGAACGGATCGAAGAGAAAGTGTAGATTCTGTCGGTATGAGGTGTGCGCCGTGCAGTAGCGTGCGTAACGCGTCGTTAGTCTCTGTTTCTGCATTTCCCGCGAGATATCGCGAAAGATTATTGAGATTTTAATCATCGGATCTTTCGAAGCCTTTGCCCGCCTTTGAGAAATAATCGCATTCTCCGTGCTCGTGAGACGGACGTAAATCTTGTCAAAGCTTATATATATATATACGCATACCAACAGCTCTCTTAAGTGTGTCTACTTGAAGTGGAATTCATTCTACGGAAAGATATGCAGGTTTTGTAAAATTGAAATAATTTTTTTGATTGATCAGCCAAAATTTATTCGTTGGTTTGCTGCGTTATTACCGGGGAGAACGCACCAGAGATTTTCCGTTCGATATCACCCGGTGACTCATGAAAGCTTATTTTCACTAATTTTCACGATATGAATGCGTCTCGAAATCGCGAATCTTGGTCTTATCGAGCGCTTACTCAAAGACGCATTCGTAGTTTCGTAGACTTTCGCGAGCAAATTCAGCCGTCCACTGACCCTAAAAAGGAGTTGTGCGCCGATACGCATGGCGTAGGATGAGATCGACCTACGCTCGATCATCATCGTTGTGGATTCACTGTGGCACAGCCCCAAAAACTGTCTGAATATAAGATAAATCTGTCATGCAATGTAGATCCTTCTTCACAATAACTCGGAAAAATAGAGAGTTCTCCTCTCTATTTTTCCGTGAAACAAAGGCGATGCTTTCTTGAGGTTTCTCCTTTTCTGACATTTTCTTTCTTTTCTGAGATCATCGGCTGAAATATCGAGTTGATGAGAACCATTTTATAACAACAGCCGTTACCACTACCGCGACTGCGGCTCACACGCAATGATTTAATCTCGAGAGGCAACGAATTAGAAATAATATTGCGTTATCGGCGCGACGCGATCGCCACTCGCCGTCACGAGAATGTAGCCATTTAAGGTGGAGCCGATACCTGACCACCTCTCGATTCATTGTCGAGTTAAGCTCACCTTCAATGATGACGCTTACACGCTCGACCGTTCGGATTTCACTTGGAAGTTGTTGCCGTCGCAACCAGGAAATTGCGATTTTTTTCTTCTTTACATTCGCTATGACGATTCACTGTACGATCGTACAGAATACGCCTTATATCTTCACTCAATAAATACGTGTACGAAAAATGGCACCTTGTAACTAAATTATGAAATATCTACTGCGTACTCGACAATCTCTAATGACAAAATTGACAGCAGCTTTTTGTCGTTTATTATCACTGAAATAATTGCCCAATATTCGCTTCACGAACGGAGCATGAATCGCGTTAATGACGTAATGTATCATTTTACCACGAATCACAAAGTAACAATAAAACTCGCACACGGCTGTTCACGAATCGCATTCTTAATTAAACTATCGAAAGAAAGAGAAAAGGCAATTGTACCTCGTAACTCGCTGCGTGGCGCCTCCTAAGATCGAACCTTCCTCCTTTAAACTCGGATAAATCTGAAACAAAAGAGAGAGAGAGAGCGCGCACGTATAAATCTTACATCGTCGTGCAATGTCCCGTTGTGAAAACTCAAGCGAAAGAATAAGAGAGCCTGATTCGTTCTGAACTGCCGATAATTTTACGATGAATTGTTATCCTGAAGATAAATAGCTCGATAGCAAGAGAGCTTTTCGGAACACCCATCCTGTCGAGCAAACGTTAATTAAATCAAGTCCAAGTATTTCAACGACGTACGAGCGTTGTAATTTGAAAATGACTATTTCTACTACTGAGCGCAGTTAATACTTAATCAACGTTTTCAATAACCAATTAGCGTTATTCACTTATATCGTGATATCACCTCTATTATTATTCTCCCCAGCGGAGTTAGCGAAAAGTTGCTAATGCAATTAGAAACACATGTTCATTCGTTTAATATTCGCAATAAGGAACTCATAGGCCCAGAGGCGTGTGTCCGCGAGCAATTCTTGGGAGTTGATTTGTAAGTGACAATAATTACTCCCGCCCGTTATCTTCCAATTTATTGAAATAGGCCGAGGTGGAGAGGTAGATGAACAATAAACTCGACGGAAACACGCTTTGGTCCCTGACACTCTTGTCGAAGAATTGCGCAATCAGCGGCCATCCTGTGCGAATCGTTGCATAATACTCTTTGTATCCTTGCGGGAGCGAAAATACGATAGCGTGCGAGAGAGGTACGCGAGTAAGCAACGAACTCGATATCGCTTCGCGTCCGTCTTTACAATCGACCTTCGGCCGCGAGATATCCCCAGGTAACTCGCTCATGACGTGTCCGACGTTCGGTATGCTCAACAATAATTTTCACGCGACTTAACGACTTCGCACCATGCGCGAAATATGCGCGCCGCGGGTTGTTACATCCGCTCGATCGTTACGCAGAGAAATAAGATTAGTCGGTTTTATGTGACAACGAACGCGCCACGGATGTTTCGCGGGTGTTTCGCGATCGAAGGAAGATTCGCAGGAAGAAAATAACTCTGTTCTCGATGTACAGATGAGAATTTAGAAAATGACGAATATCGCGTGTCAATTCTAATCTCTGAAGTCATGAAGAGAGTAGAATCATTCTGATGTGTGTGCGGACAGGTAACCAGATAAGTAAGATGAAGATGACATTTTGAACGGCAGTGCAATCGATTCGATTTCATCGTGCGGTTCAAGAGGTAGGGGATGAGGAAAAATAGGACAAGGTGTCGATCAAAATCGGTGCATAGCGAGGAAGGCCATTCGCTTTAACGATCCAAATCCGCTGAACGAACCTTAAGCAAACACCATTTTCCGTCTATTCCGTTCGTATTTGCGAATACAAGGATGAGGAAATACGATTTTCTTGTTTAATTCTTTGTTGCATGTTATATGTATAATACATGTTTTTGCTTCCCCGGAAAGCATCACAGGTGACTCTCTCTTTCCGGAAGAGAAAAATGAAGAAGAAACAAGAAATCGTTACAAATTTGTGAACTATATAAATGATATCGACATTCTTCTCTAACGCAAAGTTAAATTTTTCGACAGGTTTCGCAAGTCATCACGATACCGTAGCACAACAATACTCCGCAGAGAAAACGACGATAACGATGACGTCGCGAAATGGAATGGCGAATTAAAATTCAATCCGTAATCAATCAATCCGTAAAATTCAATCCGGGCTAATCGTGAACAAACGAACACCGGGATTAATGCGTGGTATAATTTTAGCAAAACATAAACACACACACACACACACACACAATTATCGTCGCCATGGTGAATAATAGCCCGTTAATAAGATTAGCGACGTGAGAGAGGAGAGCATTCTCTGCATTGATCTCGGACACGCGCACTTTACCCGATGAAGACGGTGTCGCCGTTCGCGATACACTCGTCCACATATACCTCCCCCCCGTGTAAACAATCCGTTGGAAAGCATACAGATGTGTACAGGGCGCGCGATCTACATTGCAGATTTATCGGAAAACTTGTCGTTAATCTATATAGCTATAGCTATAGATTTAACGACACATGCGTTTCAGATAAATCTTATTGTTCGAATTAATGCGAATTAATATCTGTTTCTATCAAGATCTTTCAGTATTACTGCTAAATATAAGTCCGTCGCATTCGTCGCGATAAATTTGTTTCGCTGATCGATATTCGTTAAATATCGTTTGTTGAGTTCGACGAGAATTTCACTTGCGTTTTAACGAAATTGAAGCACGCACATACGTGTAAGAAAAACAAATGAAAACACGCGTTTCCCGTCGAGTAAGACAGACTCGTTATGCCGGACGAAAGATTTAACTGTTTGCGAACATATTTCGCACGGCGGTCGTCCGGCAAATATTAATGGGGCAAAAAGTTGAAACCCAGCGTGAAATCTGCGCATATTGCGACATCTGTTATTACCAAAGTTTCATATACCTCCGTGACAGTGGGCAATTTTCTGGATTCCTGCACAAATATCTAATGTAACTTTCACCATCTATTAATAATACAGTGGCGTGTAGGTCGATCGACCAACGTCTATCTGTGCCTGCATTGCTCTATGATGCATGATTGTCTCTTCCTTTTTTCCTTTCTTCTCTTAGCTGCAAAATTATGCAGCATGTTTTCACAAACGTTTTAACAAACGCGAATTTTTATATTTCACGTGGAGGTGAATGACAGAATGCGAGAGAGAGAGAGAGAGAGAGAGAGAGAGAGAGAGAGGGAGGGACGGGGAGGGGAGAAGAATTCGACATAAAGATACGACAGAAAGAGCTGTATACTCCACGTGCTTTACTTTGCGCAAACTCTATTTTTTCGAGCTGATATTACGTAACATTGCCTTAATAACAACTATACACTATATCACGTGAATGTCACTATGTATTCCACGAGACCATATTCTACGTGCACATATATGCTCTACGCTCACACCTACACACACGACCGACCCTGTACGTGCATGCGTCACCAAGAACATTATATTTTCCATTTCAACAGGTTCGTGCATAACAACGACATTAGTAATGCTCATTAACAATTCAAACCAGACCGGCTCGCCGAAGCTCCTTCAATCCGCGTCCTACTCGTGAAACGCGACTTTAGGAAAAGGTTGTCCAAAACAGAGAGTACAGAATATTCTCCATCGTGTCGCCGAATCGAAACGGACAGACGCAAGATCGCAGGATGAGGACAGTTTTTAGTCTTTTTAGAATTACGAATGCGGAGGTACAGAATGAATAACACGCACTTGCGCGACTCTCATACGGATGTCAACGCGAAGGAATAATTTATTCTTGTCTAAAAAGTAGATGAATCGCGATTCGACTTCTTTCGCAAGTGGATAAAATTATCTCTCGTATGTAAAATTTCGTGCAAAAATTTGTTATATATAAAAGAAGTAGACAGTCGTGCAATAGAATCTATTGGGAAATATTTGCAGAACGCAAGAGGACAAGATACTTGGAGAAGAATAATGCTTTTGTTTACATTACGAACATTTTTCTCACTTCGCCGGATAAAGATCGCGCTAAATTTTCAGTATGAATCATTTCCGCTTAATATACAAATAAAGTGAAAAGCATGGAAAAGGTAATCTAGAGAGTAGCTGCTTGCTAAAAGTCAGCGATCAATTTTACCAGAGATCACGGTCACATCCGCATATCTGAGATTCCAAATTGGCGTGACGCGCGAGTACCACGCACGTCATAAATCCGTGCACGCAATCCGTGCGTGTAAATGCGCGTCCACACACGTTACATAATAAAGAGGACACATATCTCCGTATCTATTTCAAGTGTATGTTAGTACTCTTCTGTGTATGCTCCCCGCTCTGTGTATGCTCTTTTTATTTTCATATTCTACCTCTCGTCGCATACGCAAGAACGACTTGGTCAGTGCAAAATGGTCGTGCAAAATTACACGGCAAACAGATGTTTCTCGTGACACGCCACGGATATTACGCGAGAAACTCAACGCGCAGTCACGTACAAAAGTTATCGGACTGTTCTCTGCGCAACCAAATTTTTTTTTTTTTTAATTCAGTAGCCGGAAGAGAGAGAATATATACACATAGCTGCGACTTATCACTTTAAGTATTCTCAAAATTTCAACCAGAGATAATATAAGCCTAGCAAAAAAGGAAAGGATTCAAAGTAGCTCTCTGACAATTTTCTCTTTCACGAGAGACATGAATTCTCGTTAGATAAACGAGAAGAGTCTGTCTCCTTTTTGCCGAAAAAGTAAAAAACAATTCGTATTCGAAGCATCCATTTACCGAGAATATTCCACGAATATAACACGATTTAAATGTCTGAAACCCGTCAACGAGAATCGCTACCTCTCTGATGCGCTGTCACTCGTAGAAACACCAGTTAATCAACGATAAACAAAACACTCGGATAGAGGGTAGAAAAAAATGGGAATGTCGTGCTGTTACTTACCCGATGTGCGCATCGCACGAATACACGGTCCAACGGTGATTTTGAGTCCTGGGCCTTGCAGGTCCTCTCCTTGCACCACGCTTGTCCCATTTTTTCTCTTCTCCGATCTCTCGAGCCTCTTCTAGTCAAGTCGCTCGTACAAGTCACGGCGGCCCGTGGTTCTTCCTCTCACCGATAAGACCGGATAATGTAGACCATCTTGAGACTTGTTCTTCGTGACCTGCCACAACCGGCTAGTCTTCGCCGGTCAACCGTCTCGTTCGGATCCTCGAACGCGAAGGAGACGGGACGCAGCTATAAGGTCCGGGCGCGGAACTAGCCGAGAGACGAGAAGGAGAAGAAGAAGAAGAACGCACTGACGCGCGTTGTCGTCGACTCTTCCCAATATGTGTGTATGTGTGCGTGTATGTGACCTCCTCCTCCTCCCTCCCTTTCTTTCTCTTTCTCTCTCTCTCTCTCTCTCTCTCTCTCTCTCTCTCTCTCTCTCTCTCTCTCTCTCTCTCTCTCTCTCTCTCTGTCTGTCTGTCTGTCTCTCGTCGCTCTAAAAGACAACGAAATGTTCCATTGACGTTGCATTCTGATCATCCTTCGCGAGATATACTTCCTGATCCTATTATTATTCCCTCGAGCGAACAATCGAACTTTCCGCGGCTCTCAGACTCTCTCTTGTTTGGGAATTTGAATAGGGGGGGGGGCTGTGTGAGTGCGTTTAAAGAGTCATCACATGTAACTTTGAATAAGTGTATATTACGTAATTTCCTCGGGAGAGAAACGAAAATATTGAAAGTTTATACACACGAGAGCGAAAGACGTCGGAGAATTCAACCACGATTTAATGAACATCGGAAAAGTTCAAACCTGTGAAAGCTACAAAGAATGATTAAACTTCAATCGACTTTCTTGCGTTGTTTAAGGACGAGTGAATTTAATCACACGTCTCGCGCCTGATTTATCCTTGAAATCGAAAAATTTGCAAGTTTTAACGAGACGCTCGAGTGTCGGCCGACCCCTTCCATGAATGGATGTGCGTATTGCGTTGTCGTTGGAATCGCGCACAATCACGCGGGACCATCTCACGATGTGTCATGCGCTGCATTCGCCGGAATCATCGCATCCGTGTATTTATCTTCGCACATACATGCCCGAATCGCATGATAAAAGAAACGAGGAGCGATTCCTTGCATTTTCAGAACCGCGCCGACATTCGCGACAGATGCACCTGATTGATACAATCGGTGCAGCCTTTGTCGACGAAATCGCGCGAGAAACGAGAAACAGGTAGTCGCATTGACAGTTTCAGCCCGTCAGATCGCAACATATGTGTGTGCGTGTATATGTGTGTGCGTATGTATGTGTGTGTGTGTGTGTGTACAAATGGGTGTATGTATACATTCGTCGCATACCAAACAAAACCAAAGACTTGCAACGTCAGTCTCAACGAGACATTCACGCGTGCAACGCCCGAGATGATCGCGATGATCTCCTGTTCGACTGTTCTCTCGAACGTCCATTTGTCGCTCGCTCGTTATCTGAACCGTGACTTATCCTTACACACGCACCGCGCCCCATTGATACACTTAGTCGTCTCAGAAACGAATCACCTGGTGTATTCGAGCACCACGTCTCCTCGCTCTTCCTCGCAAGAAAGTGGATCTCAATGGGCGCGATTCCAGCGACTACGATGAAATCATCTACAAATGCGCACACCACCGGCACCGGGATACGAGCCGCTGATACGTCGATTGTTCGGTGGAAAAGATGAAACACTCGCGAGACGAATTAGATCAACTCCCTGACGACGACAATGAAGAGAAAGAGAAAAAGGGAGAGAGAAAGAAACACAGAGGAAAAAAGACTAATGTCTGCGACGATAATGGCTACGATCGCGCAGGCTGGAAGGCAGCTGGTAGTACCGCGCTGGCTAGTACCGATCCGTCGGACTCACAGCACCGTCAACACGCGAGTACCACCGTACGCATACTGGTGCGGTACCGCAGCGGTTCGAGCAGCCGGACGAACGGTCACCTGGATGGCATGCAGCCGTCGAGGCAGCGTTGTGGCTCCGGCTGAAGGTTTTCTAACCGCAGCCTCCGCTCGCAGCGGACTCTACTTACCACCGCATCTCTTCACAACAGAAGACATTGCTGATCGGCGTCGTTCCTCCTCCACACCTCCGCTTCCACCTCTTCTCGTCTACCTTCACGTTCTCCGCGAGAACGCGGTCTACCTTTCTCTCTCTCTCTCTCTCTCTCTCTCTCTCTCTCTCTCTCTCTCTCTCTTGATCCCGCTTCATCGGCCGGTTTTCCTCCTTCTTGCTCGTGTAACGCGGATACCTTGAAGAGAGCGGCTCCTACTCCTGCTCCGATGATGATCCCCTGCCGGGTATCCGACCTCCTACTCTCGCCGAGATCTTGCCCCGTTCTCCCAGGTGCGCTCGGGATTCCACGGTTTCCTTTACTTCTTTTTCTTCCTCCGTCTGCGAGATACCTTCGACAAATCGATGCTTCTTTCCTCGCCTCTTGTACTTTGTTTCTCTTTTGTTACTCTTCGCTCCGCAGGAGACATTGTCTTCCTGTTCACGTGGCTAGATTGCGTCTCGCTTCCGGAGACCGCATTCTTAGGAAATTAGGCGTCGCCAAGTTCGTGCACTTGGGATTGTCAACTTTTGTCTCATGAATCGTTTTGTGTACATCAATGAGCCGTTCGCTAATCATCTGCGAATCTATCGTGCGTTACTCAGAGAACTCTTTTAATCAGTAGAAATCATGAAAATGAAGAAAATCTTTCTCACTCGACTTTTGCTCGAGCCTCCTGGACGTGTCGGTTAACATATTGCAGAGAGAGAGAGAGAGAGAGAGAGAGAGAGAGAGAGAGAGGGATTCATAAAAAGCTATTAAACTTCAATAACTTCATCAACCGAGCAAAGTACACAGGCATAATTTAATATCTGTTTTACACTCGATCGTTGCTTAGCAAGCGTGTGCTACATAATGGTCTGTTTATACTGTGCATCATGCGGTCAACTGCACAATGACGTACTTATAGTTGCATATCTGCAGGCGCTTCCGACTATGCCAAGTAGTCCATCGTCTTGTTATTCCGATATTCCCCGTGAAATGTCTATGAAAAATATATCGTTCAATATGTCGAAATAACATGAACTTTCTTCTCCAAAATGAATGAAGTGTGTTTCTCACATTTCGTCATCATAGGACAGAGTCAATCGATTCGAACGCAACCAACAAGCTTTCCAGCGTGTGCCCCAGAGCTTTTGAGAAAATTCCAACATAAATTCGAAGCGTCCGAGCACGAAGGAGCTCGACAAGGAGGTCAGACCCGGCCAAACGAAATCAATTAAAAGAGGCGAGCGAAACTTCGTAGAGAAAAGAATGGAAGGAAAGGGGCGTTGTTAGCATTAGGAAGGTACTGTTTCCCAACAAGTCGTCGGCACGCTTCCGTTCGAATACAGAGAGTTGCGGCCGATTGAGGAGGTGGAATTGACAGGCAGCAAACGATACATCGAATTTACTCGTACTTTATGAAAACATTTTGCAAATATTTAAATAAGCATGATACATACATATATAAACATACATAGACATACATGCAGACGCGCGCAAGATATATATTTAAACAAAATGGAAAATTATCATTTTTGAATATCTTGATACTGTAAACCGATGTTTACAGTGTATCCTTTCTTTGAATATCTGTTCTCACATGCAGTTTACATTCACATATATAATATATATATATATATATACATACACACACACACACACACACATATATTTTATTTAATTATGTCTGAGGTTTCATGTATATCGTTTAACATACACCAAATGTATTAATTCTATCATACGTACTTACGAAACCAATAGAAATAATCGACCAAAATACCAAGAGCTCAACAAATTCACGTAATTATAGATTTCAAACTTTGGTCATAGCATAAATTTCGAGTTTAATAATTTGAGTTTATCTATACATCATAATCCGGATGTTCCAACGATGTTGTCGAGGTATTTTTTCTCACGAAAGGAGTAAGTCGATAAATCTCGTTCTCTTTAGCGGCAAGATCCTCTTTTGTACACCAAGGCAAAATAAATGGTAACCTGCGAAACAGATAAAATTTTATTTAACGTGATACATTTGTATCAGCGCTATATGATTGCGCGATTATTATATCTGTATTACTTTTCTCTTGTGTTATGCTTGAAAGATGTACACATGGAAGTTCACGCATTTTTTGTACACATGCATTGTTCACGAAGGTATTCTTACCGATGCGGTACACATCTTTGTATTTCATATATTATAATCTTTTCGGGTCTCTGCCTCGGAAATCGTTTTTCCGTTTCCGAAATGTTTGTCGACGAGTCTGGCATGTTCTCTTTGTTATCATTTAATAATTCGCGCTTTCTTCTCTCTATCCATGTATTTTCCAGCAAACGAGAGTTTTCCATGTTCTTATGGTAACTGAAGTTAAATTTAGATACATAAATACAAATGTCAATAGGTTGAATTTAAAGCATGTTGTACACGAAATATTCGCGTGCAATTTTTGCTCTTGACCAATAACTTTTTAAAAAGAAATTTACGACTAATCACGCGCAACTAAAGATGTTTTAATCAAAAATATTGCGAAATTGGAAAGATGGAGTACCACTGAGCTGTTCCTCAGAAAGTTGTTCTAACATTCATTAGTTTCATTAGCAGCGAAAGCTATTCACTACTTATATTCGCGACTTACCTAGGAAAATTGCAATTTTTCAGCTCGGGTGGTATATGAATACACATGTAAGACTCAACTGATGCATACGCATCGTTCTTGGCGACATCCCCTATGATACTATTCTTCTCTAAAGAAGTTTTGTCATCTGCTTCTGTGTTGGTTGGAAATCCCACAGCGACGAGTGTCCTCAATATGAGAAGGATGTAGATTGACCTCAACAATACGTTTCTCATTGTTCCCGTAAATCTTTGCAAAGGTCTTCAACTATCCGAATGCGTAGCAATACTGCAAAACTGCAAAAAATATTCACCTGTTTTTTACCGAATTTGTTACCGAATTTTGTGATAGATGTGTATATGTGTGCATGTGTGCATGTGTGCATGTGTGCGTGTGCGTGTGCGTGTGCGTGTACGTGTGCGTGTACGTATGCGTGTGTACGTGTGTTGTATGTAAAATTAATTTGATGTCAATGGGTTATACTCTATCATATATCACGCTGGTTTAACGCCTTGATAAATAATCTGTGTCGTACTTATTTTTTAGTCCGTATGCAGCTGTTGCTAACCGCATAATTTATAATTGCTGTTCATTTCAAAAATGTCGAAAAGAAAGAATGAGAAGAGGAGTATAAAATTCATTTTCACACAGCTGCCTTCAGCGGAATTATATGTAAATTATACATGTGCGCGCGTGCGCGCGCGTGTATATGTGTGTATCATCAGAATAAAATTAAACATTATCCTTGAATTCGACACGCTTTAGTCGTGTAAATCATTCAACATAAATCCAAACGAGACATTTTTATTCTGTTCAATCATTTATGCTGTCTCTCGCAATATCATTTATAACAAAAGTGAAAATATTAATATTGGATAAAAAATACACAAGAGAGAAAGAAACAATTATGTGTATCACGTATACTACTATTAAAAAGCACCAAGTATTCGTATGTATATAGGAAATACAGCAACGATTTGCATATTCAAGACAGGGACAGGGACAGGGGAGAAAAGCCAGGGAAAGGAAAAGTGAAATCAATAATGGTGTTATTGTGCTAGACAGTTGTTAGATAACATAATCATTCTGTTTGCCAGAATCGACTAGACGCTGGATGGTCCTTCCATTCCTTCTCTCGCTTCTAATCTCCAGCCTTCTCTTGCGCATTTCTCTTGCGTTACATTCTTCGACATCTCTGTAGCCGCTGACAGATCGCGCACGTAAATTCGTGGATTTTTCCAGCGAGGAAGGAATAATCCAGACAAGGTTTTTTGCATGAGTGCGACACATCTCTTCTCAATGTTGAAGCGTATCGCACATCGGAAAATCGATGTATGATATCGCGAAATTTATCAACTAATTGTAAACCCCATTTCAGACGCGTGCGTTAAGTATCTTAAGTATCTTGCGCACAAATCGCAAGAATAATTAAAACGCGATGTGAGATCTTACCGCGCGTCATGTGTAGCGTCAAACAAACGTAAAGCTCGATCGAGCTCGTAAGTGATGTTTCATCAGTTAAAGTACTCACGCGTAGTAGATCGCGGTAACACGTTCGCTTTCGCGGCTGATCCAACAAACGTACGATAGGATCGCGATCGCGATCGCGATCGATCGCCGCCGGCGCCGGTCTGATCCGGTCTGATTCGCGCGCGGTGCAAAAAGTTTAGCCGCTGTTGCTGCTGCTAGACACGCCGCTCGTCAATTGCGACCTTCAATTACGGTCGCATATTTCGAAGCCATGATCGCGACGGTGACGACGACCGACGGCGACGGTCGGCTGCGAAAACGCAAAAATCGCTATGTGACAGCGAATAAACCGCGGCTGCTCGCGGCCTACTCTCTCGTCTCCGTCTCATATCCCCAAGGAATATTCTTCGAACAACAAACTTGTATTTACACGAAAGGCAAATTGTCGTCATTCCGACGAAGAAGCGGCGCCGTCTACACAACTCGTCCGTGTCGTATACGACGATAAAGGAGCTGCTGCGAAGTTACTAACGCGACTGCATTTATCAATGCTTAATTTATATCTCGAAAATATCGACTCAGCATGCGACCTGCGCAATCTCTCGTTCACCAAGATTAGAAGTTCCTGCAGTCTTCCGCTTCGCGACCGCGGATTTGCCTAAACGACAACGCGAACGCTCCCACATCAAAATTGACACTCACCGTCGAATAAGTGGTTGAACAAACTCGGTCGCTGAATGAATGACGTTCCGCTAGAACAGGACGTGAATTTCAAACATCGCCGTCGCGTTTGGCGCATTTCGTCGTTTCTGCCTTTAATTTAACCACTCCTTTTAATTTAACAATCTCGTCATCGTCGTGATGTAGTCGCAATATTATTTGCCGGGTTGCACCGCGAGAAATTGTCAGTGTTTAATCGCACGAACATCCGACGACGATTTGTTACTCTACATATAAATGCACATAGGTGTGATGATGATGATATGCGCGCTATGTTAACTTATTTGCGTGCTCCTTGCTGGATATCTCACAGTGGAAACGCATACCATATGCAGGACTTCCGAATTTCCCTGATCGATTGCTCGACGTCGACTTTTGTCGACTTGTATAAAAGGTAGACAGTACGCCGAACTGAGTCTGAGTTCTAAAGCGAGAATTAGAAGCGAGAAAACGAAACGTAATTAGCGATGTTTTAATCGTGACGAACATCAAGATTCTTATTCTTATTTCCAACGAAGATCACGGCTGGCAAAATGCACTCGAGAGGAACGTATTCTCTCCGACTGATAATCCACTTTTACCGCGAGTACATAAGTTGCTCTATAAATTTTTTCTAATGGATCCTCAGACAAAATAAGCAATTTCACTCGAAATAATTGTCAAAATATTGCCGCACGAAATTGCATGAGTAAATGCTTCAATTTTGACTTCGTATGAACAAATATTTCGATTAAACAGTCGATTAAAATAAATGTGAAATGACAATGAAGTACATCAGGCTCATCCTGATATTTCCAATGAGTAAGTAAAGTATTCATTCGACCATTCAAAAAGCCGAATTCGCTCTATATGAATGAGAAAGACTATACTTTTCGAATGAAATCTCACTCCAAGAAATTCAGAAAATAAATCCCCTATAAATTCTCGCTGAAAATCGAGTGGATAATGAAAATGGATAATTTCCAATTCGTACAATAAATTCGCGACAGAACAGAGTGCGCTTCATAGATAGGCATAGATATTCACAGAGTCAGATCTATTACATTTGAGATCGTTGAAATTTCATCTTAAGACGCTATGTAGCCAATAAAACAGCCCTTACCTTCATCTTACTTTTACCTTTTTCTCAAACTGAACTTTAAGCGACCTCAAGTATACACAAGATCTATTCACATAAATACCACTGCCCACAATTACGCGGGATGTTCCGTGATACATGTTTAGCTGGCCAGCCGACGGACTGAAAATCTAATGAAAAACGAACGGCGAAGAGAAATAATTTAGAGGGAATTAAGAGAGAAACGATGCGGTATCAGACCGAACGGAAGCAACGAGACTCACCTCGCGAACTTTCGCTTTCTCGAATCCTTGCTGGCGAGAGGAACGTTCACCGCCTATCTTCGTGGTTGACTCTTCGCAAAGTGCGAATATTACTTCTCCCTGGATGTTGATCGTCTTCGCCGGAGTTTTCGCAAAGTCACGTCGCCTTCGCGCCGTCGCGACGATAAATGATAGGACCGGACTTTATCTCTGTCGAGGGGAAAATCACGAATTCTTTCGAATTCAGCTATCGTGTCGAAAGCGAATGTAATTTGTGCCAGAACAACCCGAGTCGAATCTCTCGAGAGAGAACAAACGAATCGCGAAAAGATTCGTCGCACGGTGCGTCCAGTTTCTCGACGAACCGATCAAGAGCAACGTGATTCAGTCGGTGGTCCGAGACAAATCTCCCTGGAAAGATGTCGAAATGCGACAGAAGCGCGAAGGTTCGGGTGGACAAAGGAGACGAGAGCCGAATGAGGCGAGAAGCACGTAGAGTCGCATCCGCGTTAACGTCGGCTGTGCTACTGCTACGAATAGAAGGATATGTCGCGATATGTTCGTCGGAAGAGATCAAAACAGATAGTTCCAGGTCCCTACCACAATTTTCCACTCTTGCCACAGCCACGTCACGACCACGAGGTCTCGCATCGACAAATCGACGACGCGATGTCGGGGGTGTGGCGGACAAGGCACAAGAGGATGTCGACGCGTGCTCGTCGTCGGCGGGGTATGTTTCTTGTTATGGGTCCACTGAATACGTCAACATTGACGACGGGAAGAAGGTGCCGTTCGTATGCAATATTTCGACGGTGAGAAACAGGTGTACAAAAACACATCGAGATCCCTGTTTATTTTTTCTTCTTTTTTCGACGACAATCACGGATCGCCGATTCTGCGACCGACGTTCGAATTCTCTCGTACGTTATCGTCGATCAAACGCGAGATCGAATGCGTCAGCATAAGAAATATGTATATAGATATATATAGAAATATATATATATATATATATATAAATTGCATCTTATCGACGCGTTTGCGAGAAACAAGAGAAAAAAAGTTTGGAACCACATTCGTGAGTATTTTTGCAACAACCAGCTTGAAACTATTTTCTCTCTTTTGCCGAAAATATCACGACTCGCACAGATTGGTATCTAGAAAAATTTCGAAAGTAAGAAAAGAAAAAAAACTCTTCTGTATTTCTTGATGCGAACATATCTTCAAAATCGCATATTCGTACGCGATTCAACGTTAGCCGTACTCTGTGATTGTTCCTTCAGCAGGTTATTATTTCACTCCGCGCTCTGACGGAATCGGCGAAAAGAATCGTAAATTTCGTGTCACGAGTCTTAAAACTTTCCCAAGAGTAAGAAGAGTAGTAGCGATAATTGTATATGGTGCAACGCATAATATTAATAGAATTTGGACTTCATCTAATTTCGTTTGAGATATAATGAACATAAGTTTCAGCAGACGCGCTTAAAATAACTAGGGTCGAATAAAATGATAAATGACGAACGAGGTCCCGCTGATATTGCCGCGTCATAAGTAAAGAAATACACAAATAATACTGTAAACATAAGTTACACGTGTCACCCTGGTTCCTCTATCTCATTAATAACCCTGAGGTTACTTAGCATCAGTTATCGCTTATTTAATCTGGAGGTCAAGAGTACATAAGCTCTTATATAATAAGTAATGCTGACCGATGATTACCCGTCAATAAACAATGCGAACTTATTCAACCGGGCGTTCGATCGTCAGGTACATTAACATAGAAACCTGGTCATGTGAAAACTCCTCAATTTTGCCGAGTTTTTTATCTCGATATTAAGTTTTCCCTCAGTATCTTATCTAGATATTTCACCGTTTAATAAAAATATAATAATAAAATATAATAAACATATAATAAATAAGTATAATAAATATAATATAATAAATATATAATAAATTACGGTATACTTCGTAAAAATATACTATGTGGCACATGTCGCTCAGAAACGTTTACAAGACTTTAGTAATAAACAAAACTATGTGCTTGTTAATTATGTACTTGGTTAATTATATTGATCGCATTTCTTTTTAACAAAATTAATGAAACATGTGCGTTTTTTTAAATGTTCGTTTTGTACTTTTTGTGCTGTTATATTTTAGCTATATTTTTGTTGTAATACATTTTGTTTTGGTACGTTTAGTTTTGGTATGTTTCTTTTTTATATTTTTTGGTTTGGTACTTCTTTTCATATGTACTCGGCATTGTTTTTCTTTTTCGTAAAGACTTTTTGTTATGATTTTACTGCTTTTTGTGTAAATTATTTGTGTACAAATCTTATTAGATTACTCTTTTTCAGCAAAGAAAATGTATGCATTTTTAGAATTTCGAGGCCAACTACATTTTTTTATTTTAAAATTATTAATTAAAATCCATTCTGTGCACTTAACACGCACAACGTTTGTATAATATCCATCGGTTATGCTTTCACCATTGTGGAAAAATGCACTAATGATTTGATATATATTCGTGCCTAAATTATATTTAACTATTATCTATTATCTAAAGTAAAAACAATCGGTTCCGCGAGAGAAAATTTGACTGAAAGAAACGCGATTTGATTCTAGATCAATTGGTCCTTCAAAAAACTTTCTTCCGCATATAATGAGCAATAAAGAATAGAATGACGTTTACATAAGTAATGCGTAAGCGTCTAAAGCGAACGCAGAGATAATGCAATGCTTATTTTATTTATTAACTTGTATAATAATAATAATTATTATTGTTGTTGTTATAATTTCCATGCTTAAGATATTTGACTCGGAAGATCAATTGATCCTGAAATTCCGGAAAAGCTACCACGGTCACTTTGTTTTATATATACTCGGCGTTGCGCCGCGTCCGCGGCGCTTGATATTTTGAGGTCGTCGGCATACAATAAAAAGTCACAATTCTTAAATAAAAACATCAATGTCATTGATGAAAAGGTTAGAAAAGGATGAAAAAGAAGTGGGCCGAGGTGAGACCCCTGCGACACTCCAGATGTACCATATTAATAAACAAAATTAATCTCGTTACACAACAAACGATCCACCCTTCTTCCGCTTACGTCATGAGCTCGGATGCATTTTGCATTCGTCAACAGGCTGTGGAGGGTCGCACTACATTCATTTGTTTCTGCTTCAGACACTTTCTCAAAGAATTTAGCAAAATTACACACATACTTCGACGCCCAAGCTCGCAGTTATAGTACGCACTCAAGTGCGTAAACAGGACCTAATGTGCGCGCGCGTACATATTGCTTGAATAAATATAAAAAATACTAATACTGAATTCATTCTATAACTTGATATTACAAATGAGATGCGCATGCTAAACACAAACGGTGTATATGTCATCCGCGTCTGAATCGTCTGAAGGAACTGCATGAAAATAGCGATATAGCATCGATATCGGCTTTCGGCGGCTTCTACAAAATGCGCCAGACACGCGCACCGGCAATCAATCGCAATCATTGTAATTATCGTTTGCCGTTTGCCCGGAGAGCAATAACCAATTACTCCAGAGCGATTCAGAGAGATTCCGTTTTGACCCGTGCGAATCTCGAGGATACCCTCGAAGATAATACGCCGCAGTGGCAATCCACTCGCGGATCCCGTCGGCATCTCGATAAGTTAAGTAACGAACAATCAGGCCCGCTTTTACTTGCCCGCACGTGGCCGCATGTCGGTATACGTACGCATGCACAGAATACACGCAACAAACTCCAAAAAGTCGAGGGTGCGTGCGACTTGGCCGTAATGGCTAATTCAATAATGGAAAATTAGTTGTCGAGCAAATACGCATAATCGTGACTGATCTTTGTCACTACCGTTGTACGACAGGCAATTGACATCACGAGGGTCTCTTCTCGATGCTCTTCGATGCACTCAGACACGGGCCGACAGATTGATGTTACTAATTATCGTGTCGTCGTTTTATTTTCAATTTATGACTCAATTCGAATTCGAATAATATTTTTCAGTCTCCGGTGTTTTGGAAACAGATACGAAAGAAGAAACGAAAAAAGAAGATACCAAATTGAAGAGTTCAAGGGTTAACCCACTTTCGTAAGAACTTGGAAATATCAATCTTATAAGCTCGAGATATTATTTCTTTCTTATATTTTCTCTCTTTCTCCTTTTAATTCTAATTGCTCCTCTCGAACTTTTAAATGTGATTTTTATATCGCAACTGCTGCTTGTGCCGCGGACTCTACGTTTGTCATTAAAGTCTCGAGGTAGAGGAAAGTTAATTTTTAATTAACTTTTCTCGCTGCCCCGTGGCAAGAAAGTCGCCTTGTATAACAATGGTGATGAAGATTAGTCGCGATTACGTGTGTCGCACGTCAGCTAATTTTCCATTTAAACAATTTAATCTAAGCTATCGGGACAATGTTTTACACGTCGATAATGCGCATAGTTGCTGCAATGTTTGTGTGCAATTTTCTTTTTTCAACTTGCTCTTAAAAAGCTGTTAGACGTGATGACTAGACTCGTATTTTTAGCGGGCGAATACGTATATCAGTATTCGACAAGAAAAATTGATTATCAAGTACGCATATAATCAAATACGCACTTAGGTAAATGTGTAATAACGTTGTTACGTCACCCATGCGATTAAATAGTATTTCGAAATATAGCATACTTAAACAGATTCTTTTTAGATGGAATATTGTCGACGAGGATTGTTTGCGAGATAAAATTACCTAACGAAAAGCTATGTCGCATGGCAGAAAAAAAATCAGTAACTCCAGAGAAAGAGAAGAAGAGAGCAGGCAAGGAGAGAAACAAAGAGAAAGATAGAAAGGTAAGGATGAGACAGCAATAGAATCAAATAACAATGCGAACAGATTGTGCAATCAAGAATTTGACCTGTCGACCTGTTATTTATCTACATCTATACTCACATATGTGCACACACACGCGCATTCTCTCTCTCCTCTCTCTCTCTCTCTCTCTCTCTCTCTCTCTCTCTCTCTCTCTCTCTCTCTCTCTCTCTCAAACGACATGTCTCGTAATTTAGTTACAACGATTTCATCGGTATTAAAGAATTATCTTTCCAAAAACAAGACACATGTTTTACAGCTCTGCATATGTTCAGTTGAAAAATGTCACATGTATATATCTTTCTTGATCGAACTCGAAGGATAGTTGATCAATTATGTGTGTCTGTGAGGTAAATTAATAAGTTGGAATAATAATGTAAGCGTAATTCTCCGACGACAAAAAACAGCAGTGTTGTTTGCCGCTTTTTGTTCAAATAAAATGCAATTGAACGAATAATGAAATTTGACACAAAAAATATGATACATAATTGTGATTATTATATCGAATATAAGCGATACGATACAAGAGATATATGCAATTCAAACGTAGAAATATACGAACACGATGTGAGAGAGTTTGACGCCTATAATTCACACACGACCGCTCAACGCACGCTCGTAGGTATGGTGGTCTCTTTATAGGCGCACGCAAAATCCAATTATCACTTTTATCACTCATCGCGTATATGCGGCGTAGCATTCAACATATAGGCCACAATTAATTTCTTCTCGCAAATTAGGGACAAGTGCAATCAATCGATTTACTATTTTTACAGTTTGCTGCATCTGACAGTTGTGCGTAAAAAATTGCACCAAGTTTAAATGATGATTGAAATTACAAACTAATTCAAATCATTCTATCCCATTTAGCGTGACATCGTAATTCGAAATACACGTGTAAAATTTAATCGAAATAATTGATCAACAATCTCTTTCGGTTATTCCAAAGTGTATTCCAAGTGTACGAAATACAACAAAAACTCCTTGGTTATACGAGTCTTCGCGAGAATACCCGGTAGAGAATAATGGCCAAAGTGTCCATTCGTGAATTTTAGTCATTGTGTTTTCGAGATTCCTCACCTCTCCGTGTCTCGTTGCGTGTCTCCCGCGATAAGTGACGCGTCCGGAACTCGTATTAAGAACGATCCTTACGGATCGATAGTGGTACCGTGCAGTCGCGTCGCGAGGAGCACGAAGATGCGAGTAATTAATACTTCACTCCGCTGCTCGGCGGCAAATGTTTACGACGAGTAGCCGCGCCGCGGCTACAATTAATTCGAGGCGAGTTAAGAGCACAAAGAGTACATACCTGGCAGCGGACCAAGACGTTACGCTACAACGTGTAACGCACAATGTTATCCGGATCTTCGTACGTATCGATGTACGTACGTACGGACGATTACCGGATATGGATGGACGGCTTCATTTGCCGCGCAGACCTACCTTTCTTGCCCTAAACTCCTTCAAAAATGCCCGAAAATGTTCAGAAAATGCTCGAATAGTACCGCAGCTAAATCATACGTTATAAAAAGAAACCGAGTCAACAGCTTGGCTTGGCTTGGCTTACGGTCAAATAACCCTGGCGCACCAGTATTACCGAATATCCAGATTGACTTTATCCCCGTCGATGATATTTTATTTTCATTTCAGAAACAAAGCTTCCCGGTGTGCACTCGATAATGGCGTGATGCACTTGCGAGGAAGGTAGAACAAACTCTTACACAAATATCAATTATATAGCAGCTGATACTTCGATATTGTTGGTAACGACAAAGTGACTGAGGAACAAACCTTTATCTATTTTATTATATTTAATTTATTTTTCTTTTATTTATTTATTTTATTTATTTTATTATAGTAAGTTTGCTCCTCAGTCGTTTGTTCAGTCAGCTCGTCAGCCACTTTGTCGTCATCAACAATATCAAAGAATCAGCTGTTACATAATTGAGAAATGAAAAACAACGAGGCACATACGACTCGATTCAGCGGGCAATTCAGCGTCGGGAATAATTAAATTATTAATTCGCCTGTGTCATTTATCGAATTATAGTTAATTGTTCTCATTTAAAATTTGTTTTTGAAGCAAAAGAAAGCGATCAGGCAAAGCGCGAGTGGCAAGCGTGCACGCGATGATTCTTATATGCCGTAAGCCAAAAGGATAAAATCCGGGGGTAAGTTAAACGTATATTATTTATTTATTACAGCTACACACGCGCAAGAAGGGAATTGTCCAGATTCAACAGTACTCTCCAGCTGAAAGAAAATTTCCTTCGGAATTTAGGAAAATTCGACTTTAATAGATTCTCTCCGTTTTCCGCACGCATAAATTACGAGTCCACGCGAGCGGAGCGCGGCACGGTACGGAATTATTCGCCGTTAGTTCGGCGCCAACTCCTATAGGACCGTCCAAACGAAGACGTGTATTACGTATAAATGAATCATGCCACTAAACTCTACGACACGACGGCTTCTCGAGAAAGTCTCCGATAAATCTATCTATATAATGCAATAAAAAATAGATAGGAGATATAATTCTCTTGTTTTCGCAATTATTTCCCTCATCTGAAGAAAAAAAAAAACAAAAAAGTCGAAAACGAAAATCTATAAAAATAAAATCCACTCTTACGCACTACAAAAATATTACAATGCTATATAATTGTTATATATATTTAATAAGTGTTATGCAATTAACATTATGTAATAATTTATGACAGATTAATCTCTTTCGTAATTCAGTGCACTCTGAATCATTTTGGGTATCAATGAAACAGACATATATCAATGATATGGTGTGTAAATAAATAAGACGAATCGAATTTCCTCTGTAAGACCCGATCCGTACTATCCGTTCACTCATGGCCCGGTCACGCTCTCAGTCCGATCAAATATTCTTACACTGTTTATAACATACGTAGCAAGACCGGACCAAAACGTGAGCTAGTTAGTGACCAGTAGTGTGGATATCTACGTTATAAATAATAAAAGAATATCTGATCGGACTGAGAACGGAGCACGGACTGGTCTGATAACGTACTGATAATGATACTGATAGATACAGTAGGATAAGATTGAAGAATAAAACTCGGGCTTATCCACGTACTCGAGATATAAATTTATATACTTATATATAATTTATATATCACACGTTCGTCTCAAAAAACAAATATAGTTTTAACGGCGGACCTCTGATTTTGAGGCGGACTGTAAAACTGACCCTCGAAACTTTATTTCCTGAACATTCGTTATATGAATGAACGGCCGAGTGTCCGACTGATCGTAAATGCCGCTAAAGACATCAGGACGCTGCAACAGATCGGGTTCACATACGCGGAGCTTATTGCATATAAGCAAAGAAACACATCACACGTATGAACGTTACGTTTATTTGTCGTATCACAATCATTTATTCACGCAGTTGGAATATGTACAAATGTATCGCCAAAATGTTCCTACCGGGAGCCCAACGGACTTCATCACGTCCGACTCAATTTTCGCCTGTCCTCGTAACAGTTTTCGTCCATCTCATCTCATCGCGTTGTTATTTCATATTAGCAAACCATTCGCAGTCGTTATTTTTTTTCTTTTTTAATAAGAAATCGGTTTTCCCCCGCATAAATATATAGCCTGTCCCATACAGTGCGTAACGCACTGTCGTATCGCGCGACAAAGTGTTCGCCGCGTGAGATCCCCCAGCTTCGTCGAGTGATCAATTCGCAGACGTTTAGAGAAACGAGCATTCTCCCGGCTCGGCTTGAAGCCGGGCAGCGAGACGTCGACATCGACGACAACGTGGCTGGAACTCTCGCTCGTCTCAGCTACTGCAACCAAGCTGGCCGACTTAACTCGGACTTGGCATATTCCCGAGCCCATTTGGTGTAAGCACTCGGTCGCGGACGGTTCGGACGAGCTCTCACTCTGTCTCTGCCCGGCGAACAAGTTCAAGGGATTTTAATTTGAAGACACGAGCCCGAAAGGAACGTAGCAGAATGATGAGCGTCAGCGAACAAGTAAGTCTCGTAAAGAGCGTGCGTGTCTCTCCTTTTCTGCATCCTTCTGTCTATCCTGCACGATGGAGAACAAGCTGGTTCACTCGCACGTGTTATCTCGAAGCTGTCACGAAGACGGGCGCAATGATGTCCGCTTCAGATCGGCGGAGATAAAACTTGGCCGCTTTAAAGGAATTTCGCGAAACGATATTATTTCGTGGAAACATCCTTGTCTCTTAGCGACGCGACATGTGCGTTATAATATAACCGCTAATCAACTGTGCGACTCGTTGTTACGATGTTTACACTTTGTGACATACAGCTGTATATATGTTGTGATTTAATTGGGGTGGTCTTGAGATTGCATGTATTTCAAGAGCGTATACACGCGATGGGCATCCTTTGGTGAGAAAAATTTGCTTCGCTGCGCGTGAACGGAATATAATATAATATATATATATATATATATATATATATTACTCGTATATATATATTATATTATATATATATTATATATATATTATATATATATTATATTATATATATTATACATATATATATATATATATTATATCAATATTAATAAAAGTAACATGTAAATACATTTTATTTTTTTCATAATCTTAAAACTTTTGATTTTTAATATTAGGATATTAGGATATTATTTATTAAATTTTGTATTGTTGATCACCGATAATTGAGACACTGCGTTTAACGTGTTAAGAAATTTTAACGTGGATTTGCTCGTTCGTTCTCTTACTACGAATGCAAGTCGAGTTTTTCGACGTGCGCTTTTTTTCTTCTTCCTTTCCTCTGTATTCTTGAGAAAAATCGCATGATTAAAGTGCTCGATAATACGGGACTACATATGCAGCTGCGTTAACGGGCCGAAGATACACATAATAGCTGTATTAACAGTGTCACTGTTCAAGCGACGACTGATATGATTGACCGGTTCAGAGGTCAGTATCCTCATGCTCGAGTGAACTTTAGAAACTTCAGATAGATCGAAATGCAGAAGCATTATCTCATGTCAAATGGTCAGATTATCAATTTGCTGTCAGCCCCTTCGTGTATACTTATGACGTTCTTAAAACACGATTTAACATGTTGTATAATTTAGATAAATAAATAGTAAAGTAGATAAATGAGATAGACGCCCGCTCATTTTCCAACTTCCAACTTGATTCTTTTCTTTCCCCCATTTCTCGTCTCTTTTTTATGTTCCACGTTTTTTTTACTCTATCTTTCCATTTCACACTTGGAGACCGGATATTTGATCTTTTATCTAATTATTTTTCGACAGAATATTCATACTTTCTGATAAGAGCACTTCGTTCTTTGATTCGTACAACGTGAAATTCGTATACTTCACTTTATTTTCTGATAGCAAATATTTCGATCTATCTTATTTATATGTTTAAATTGTAAATGCGGCTGTCGTGCAGGATTGTTAGTAACAATGCTGACGTTCATCACTTCTGAGATTTCTGGGAGAGATTTCTCGATTCAAGGCGATTCAATTATATCGAGCGAGATCTCGCCGAACGATACGGAAGATATTTCATGCATTGCACTCATCACGCAACATTTTTCAAACTCGAAGTTATATCGGCAAACATGTGTCCTGGTCAAAGAGGAGATGAGTTGAGAGGATGAATCTCTCGGATGTCGCGTTTCTTCAGGTCGTATGCCGGATCATTGTCTATTATTTTTAAATATTTACGGAACTCTCTCCGTTGTCGGATCTCTACAATGCTTTCGGAGAAACACGTCATCGATCAGTTCAAATTATCGGTCTCGAGGGAGCTCAACGTTTTCTTGAAAATATTGAAAAACGAAGACAAAACGAAAATTGGAAGATCAAAGAAGACAACATATTATGTCGCCGATGTCTGAATCGACAAAAAATTGTTTGTTACATTTCAGAAGGAAAGAAACCGCTTGTGTACGTGCGTCACGATCGCGCTCTTATATTCGAACATACCATACCAAATATTTCGGATTTATTTCTTTTTTTTTGCTCTTTTGTTACAACGTCATATAACGAATCGATCGAGCGTGTTTTATCGTCCCCGGAGAGATAGAACGCAAGTGTCTCTAATGGTCCTCAAAACTCTCGTTTCTTCATGTCTGGAAGTACGTCTTGTGACAATAAAAAAATACATTGTTGCGACCGAAAAGATATTTTTAATTACACAAGATATGCCAGGCGAGAAAACGGAATGTTAATTATGAAGAAGTTATGGCAACGAGATTTTCTAACACTTTGTCTGTTATGGAATGCAAATTTGATGAATTAACTTGAAGAAATTAGATAGAGATAAGAGCACACAATTTCTTGTCGATTACCACATGTCTCCGTAGAGGAGCCGTAGACCGTTATCTTTAGACACATTTTTCGTACACATAGATGAAACGGAAGACGCTTGTGTGGTGTAAACACAAAGATTTTCGATACTATTGTTCTTAATGAAGTAATTTTCTCATGAAGAGAGATGAACGTGCTGTAAATAATAATTCAGATAAGTACGTATTTTTGTATACACTTTATATAATGAGTCACGCGTGCGAGGAAAGCGCTTTGTTTTGTAAAGGAGGAATGTCTTTACGACGATGACAATGCTCAATGATGATTGATCATATGAAACGTTCTATTCGCTTATTCGTAATCTATATCAATTTTTTATCTATATCGCCTCGCTCATCATTATTTCGACACTCGGTCGGCACTATTTTGATCATGACGGCGACGATTAGACGAACATCGTTATAGTAGCATTATTGCGCGATAATTGCGTCGTGCCGATAACTTTTGTTACGTTACACTTAATTCGAATTTTATCTCGAAGAACGAGCGAGAAATGTTGTTAAATAAAAACAATCGGTCGTTCCATGAAACTTGACTCTATCTTCTTTTTTACAAAATATATAAATACATTTAGATTTCAGCAACATTACTCTTTAATATGATTTCTCGTAAATGTTAACAATGTATGTATAAGATAGTAAGCATTACCTCCTCATAAATCCGATGTAATGAGAAAGGAATAAAAATACATCCAGAATACATAGCGTCGTAATGTCATATCGGTGGTATTCTTTTTACCAAAATACTTTAATTATTTCTCACTTATCTAGCGTTATCTATTTTAAAACCAACAGTAAAGTTGGTTAATTAAAAGATTTCTACCCACTCAAGAACAAAGTAGCATCTCAATCGTCTCATGAATGACGCAAGTACGCGTATATGTAAGCGCACTTTTTCTTTTTCTCCTCCTCCTTCTCTTTCTTCTTCTTCTTCTTCTTCTTCTTCTTCTTCTTCTTCTTCTTCTTCTTCTCCACCTTCTTCTTCTTCTTCTTCTTCTTTTTCTCCTCCCTCTTCTTCTTCTCCTTCTTCCTTTTCTTCTTCTCATCCTGCTTCATCTTCTTGCTGTTCTTCTTCTTGATGCTACCTTGGTGGTGCCACCGAGATAATAGAGAAAAAGAGAAGCTAAGGACGTTAATTCGCTCGCGGACATTTTCGTCCGTTCGTGCGACTTAACAAAGTTGCCAATGAAGCGACGAACATGACCTCGCTCATTGATCTCCGCATCGGTCAGATCGCAAAACAAGAGTGAACGATGAAGAATTGACCACTCACGTTTCTATTCCTATCGACACGATTCACGCGCAACCTGAGTCATACACGTATAAACGGACACGAAATTACAGAAAAAACGACGTCAGCGACGTCGATGGCGATGACGTAGCTCGCTACCACCCACCTGTCGGCAGATGCGCTATTTTTGGGATACGCTAATGCATACGGCATGCACCACGTGCGCGTTTGACGGCTGCGACTCTCATCGCTGAATTCCTCTCGAAGCAACGTACACGCTTTTGGAAGAAGCAAATCGTATAACATAGAGAGCGCGACACTTCGCCACAAATAATTAAATCGCTTGCAAATTGTATAACTGTAAGACCGATACAATTTAAACCGAAAATTTAAATTAATATATTGTTTACGCGTCGCGTTTGCGCGATATTAGTATAATCGCAACGCGACGAAAAGGTGAAAAAGGAGAAAGGAAAATCCGAAAGTTGGATATAATTATCGTTGCGAGATATAATTATCGGGCGAGAAGATAAAGTACTTAATTAAGTAATTAAGATACAAGGAATGACGGACTTCGCCCGACGTGAGCCGACTAATGTATTTTCCATAAATGAAAGAGCCGGATTCACCGCGAGTCGAGTTGAGAAAGTTCTCTGCTTTGATTACTTCATTTTCCACGTCGTGTATTACTAATCTGGAGAGTTTATCTAGAATGTGCGGCGGCCACACAATCGCACGCACCAGAGGCAATTGTGACGGCTCTCAACGAGAAATCTGCCTGTCTTCTTTTCCTTTCTTTTTTTTCTTTTTTACAAACGACACGTACGATCATGCGTTTGTGCATGATCGTACGTGTACGACGAGCATGATCGGCTCGCAAATGCGGCAGTGAAACGATAGACGGTAAAATGCGAAGAGAACACGAGGAGGAGTTCGTTTGCCCTTTGAAGCAGGCAATGTTCGTAGCTATTCTTAGATAGTTTTATCGGTCGTAGTATCTGTTCGCGAAGAGCGGTACATCATTCAAAACATCAGCGAGTACACCGCAATGGAGCCGATCGGCTGATTAATCACAGAACATAGATCCTTTATTCCCTCGGAATCCGGATCAAACTGCGAGTGATCGCTCGATCCAGCACCGGTAATACAAGAACAAACGGCTCGTTATTCGGCAACTCGTTGAGTTTTCGTTCAATCGTACTTTATTGTGACAATAACGAGAATACACCCAGTATCGGTGAGAATATCGGTCAGCGGATCCTTCGGGAAGTAAGTAACTGTACTTTCCTGAACGTTCTTCCGCATCCGATTCTGGGTCCTTTTATCCGTCCGCCGTATCCGTATGTACCTAGCGATCCTGCTTGTTCTTCCCTGATTCTTATTGCTTTATTCGCGAATATAATGAGAATAATTAAGCATAATTACATCGGCGTAATTATTGCGTTAATGATTCTTTAGTTCACCCTCTATCGCAAAACTCATATTAAAACGATTAATTCTTAATTATAGCATAAATTAATTTAGTTACATATAATTTACAGCTTCCAAAATAAAATGCTTACACTAACATTGTATAATTAACAGATTAAGGATATGGGCTACGCCGTCTTGCAGGACTTCCTTCGACCGCACGAGGTTGAGGAATTAAAGTTTCACGGGCAGCAATTTACGAAAAACTTGCCATCTGAATCAGAACGAAGGATATTTGACGCTACAAATGTATCACAGGTTAGATTATTACTCCGAAGGGGGGTGGGCTTAAGAGGAGGGGAAGGAGATTGACGGAAAATATCCTATTATCGTTTGGGAAATACAATGGAAATCTTCTTTTTTAACGGGAATAGATGGCGAATAAACGTTACAAAATGTTATCAGATTATTTTCCACGAATTCTTATTATACAGATATTATACAGATCAAAGTCAAAATCAATAACCGCGCATAAATTATAACTAATCAAAATAACGATCTTGTTTAAGGCTAAGGAACAGTATTTTCTGGATAGTGCTAACCAAATAAACGTGTTCTTTGAAGCTGAAGCCCTGGAGAATGACGGAACGTTGAAAGTGGAACCGGAAATATCGTTAAACAAAGTCAGTACAAGTAAATACAGAAAACTTTTGATTCCGACTGGATAATCAGTTCATGCGCATAATTTGTGAAATGGTTGATAATTGTGTTACACCTGTCAGGTGGGTCATGCGCTTCACTGGTTAAATCCCACTTTTAAAAAGTACACTTTCGACGAAAGGGTCAAGGAGGTCGCTTTTCAGCTTAATTATAAAGAGCCGGCGATATGTCAGTCGATGTACATTTATAAGAACCCTACGATAGGTTCGGAAGGTAACCAAATTAATTGCTTGCATCTTTCGTTTGCACACGCACATGAAACGCAAAGAAGCTATATGGTTCGATTCATATGGAAACCTGTACAATATAATAGTATACGTAAATACTACACGATACAGTATTTATGTAGATAATGCCGAATATATTTCAAAACAGCAACAGATCGGTAAGGCGATTACATTGTTACAGTGACAACGCATCAAGACGCAACGTACTTATATACTGAGCCGGAGACGCTCTTGGGCTTTTGGATCGCTCTAGATGACGCTACGCAGGAAAATGGATGTCTATGGATCGCAGCCGGTTCGCACAAGAGTGGAGTGCATAGGCGTTTCATAAGAAACAAAGACCCGTCTTCTAAAGAATTATTGATTTACGACAAAGCGGAGCCCCACTATTCGCAAAGCTGTTTCACTCCCGTGCCAGTGCGCAAGGGTACATGCATTCTTCTTCACGGCCAAGTTCTTCATTTCTCTGCTCCAAATAGAAACAATGTACCGAGACACGCTTACACTTTTCACATAATCGAAACTCAAGATGTGATCTATGCGAAAGATAATTGGCTTCAACCACCCGCTTGTGGTTTCCCGAAACTCTATCTAAATTAAATGTATCGTACTAATTTTGGGAATCATTGTTCATGGAGTGTACGCAAGTATATCACGCGCGCACACAGGAAAATATGACGTACGTATGCACCGATGATCTTGAGATATAATTGTGTACAAGAATTTATTTTTTCATAAGCATATAAAGGAATAATATTTCTACCTACAACTTAGCAATAATAAAAGAAGAGTAAATTTTCGAAACGACTAAGATATCGCAGTCATTTAACAATATTTTATGTCTACAACTTTATTGTACATATATAATGGATAATAAACGGACGTGTGCACGATCCTTTCTTGGAATTAATTTACATAAAAAAAGAAAGAAAAAAAGAAAGAAGAAAAAAGAAAGTAGTGCTGTGCGAAGTCTGTATCACAAAACATATTATTTGAATATTTATTAATATATCAAATATATGAAAAATATTGATATATTATTCTAATATCTTAATTCTTTTCTACGAAATTATGTGTATCCAACAAAGGATAGAAGCTGTATATATCTTGTATTACTTTTTAAATGTTTATATATGCTTTGTTTCTTCCACCCACTATATTTTGTCCAATACCACATGTTAATTTTTTAATAATTGTTATTTGTTAATATATTATTCTCTCTCTCTCTCTCTTTCTCTCTTTCATATCACACGCACACGTATACGTTTAACAAAAAGATTATATTATATGGTGCATGTGAATTTATGTACAAGTAGTTAAGTATAATGCGCGAGAATGTGTACTCAGTTCTTGTAGTTGTCTCAAACCAAACTTTAATACTTCTTCTTTTAATGTGACACAGCAAAATATATCCAAAGGTTCCAATTCCAACGTTACTATTTCTTTGTAAGCTAAAAATGAATTCAAATCTTGCTGCAAAACGATCAATGTCTGATATTTTATAGAATCATTTTCAGCTTGCTCCAGTAACCTAATCATGAAAAAAATTAATACAAATGGTTATTATACATAACTGTACATACAGAATTATGCAACAAATTATTGAAGAATAACTTACTTATTTAAATTACATGACAAATCAGTCACTTTTTTGGTAATGTCTGGATGCAAACGTCTTACAGTTACATCTGGCAAAGGTGGATTTATAGGATTGTAGCCGAGAGGATAAACTTTTCCTGTGATGTGGGCCGCCAAACCACTGCAAGACATAATAATATTCAATTCCAACGTGAAAATAACGTGCTACTGTTGTTGATATATGTTACACTTGCACCTGATAAAATATTAAAAATCATACAAAATAATCAATACACGTTTTGCAAAATTATTTTATAAAGTACATAATTATTTTATAAAGATGTTTTGCAAAAATATTTTATAAGTATATTATTTATAAGAATATTTATTTTTTATAAGTATATTATAATGTAAAAGAAAATCTCACCATAGATCACGCGCATAACTGTAAATTTGCTTAAAGCACTGAAGTACTTTCTCTGCTCTTTGTTCTTGTATTTGAGCATCCTCTACAATACCTATTTTGTCGTGTAATTTTTTCCGATCTGTATCAACGATACACTTGAGACATTTTTTCTTGAGTTCCTAAAAATATATAAAGTTTTCCAAATTTGCACTTAATAATTATTTCGACAGAATTATCATTGTTATCATCAAATTATATATAAAGTATTACCATAATAGCATTAAATGATTGTACCATAAGCTCATAATGCTTATCTGTATTTATTGCTTGTATCAGATCACTGCATTTTTCTAAGACGTATTCCACGTCTTGCAACTTTCTGCCACCAACTGAAAATAAGCACGAAAATTAATCAAAAGTATAATTATCAAATTTAGTGTGGAGAGCTACTGAATGCAATGTTTCGTTATTTGTAAATTACACACGCACATGCGCGCGCGCGCGCATGCGCAGAGCGTACCCGGTAAATGTTCGAAGATTTCAAGTAATTCCCGTGTAATAGACTCAGCATATGTTTGGAAAGATCCGTTTATAGCAGCGATCCAATGCTTTACAATGCATTTTAATGCAGTCACTACAGTCCAAGGTGGCTTTATAATGACATATGTCTCCCATTCTTCTCCAAAACACTCTGTCATTTGTTTAACGATAATCTGAATGCAACAATATTTGTTAAATATTATGTTTTCGCTATATATATATACGTGTGTGCTAGATATAAATCTAAAGCATAGCATATAATATTGCTATTGATAAAAACAGAAATAAGTAGAAAAATGTCAATGGCTTAGATAGCTTTGTGATCTAAAGCAGTAATCTGAGAAAGAAGATTTGTTTTGCTGAGAAACACGCGTGAAAAATATATAATACTCACTGTTGAAAAAAGATCTTTCATGATTAATTTTGCATCTTCGAAAAATTCATCTGAAAAACGTAATTCTTCACTTAAGAGAGAACATTGAGTAACTTTATTACTCAGAGGATTAACTGTTTCGTCACTTGTATTCAAATTGTCTAATGTTTCAAGAGAATCATGCCGCCCCACTGCTGTTATACAATGTATCATTGCTTTAGTGCAGAGATTTTTGTCATATGATAGTAAAACCTGTACCAAAATGAACAAAATAAGTACAATGTATTGAATATAGCACGATACATGTGCATGTGACATCTTACCACATCTTTTTTTAAGTTCTTAATTTGTAAACAGCATTGAAGAACCTCATCATCTGGACAATCGAGAAAAAAGACTTCTTTATTCGTTGATGCTTGTTCTCGTGTTTGGCCTACGATACGTGGATGTTTGGATGCAAAATGTTCATTAATAAATGATATAGCTGTTCTGGCTTTTGTACGCAAAGTTTCAGATCTAGATTTGTCACTTTTCAAGTAGTCCAATTCCTGCAAATATTTTATAGAAATAATCTCGAAAATATAACATCAATATTCATAGAAAATAAGCAGTTTGTTATACTTGTTATTTCATACTCACACGTATTACAGTCCATGGAATTACTATAAATGGACGTGGATAATTCTTGAAGGTGACATCTCTTGCTTGTTCAATAATTTCAAGATTTGTCAGAAATACATTTGTATCGATTACAATGTACAATGGACCTTTCTCCTGTGATTCTATCGGCTGTGTTAACACCGTGGTATTCTCCGATGGACAGTTGGACACATTCGTGCAATTTTTACTATTAAGTTGTGCTCTGACAACTTCAACCTGTATAAAAAAAAAAAAGAACATGAAGTGTGGCTTGTGGTAAAAACTTTTGCAATTTAACCACATTTGATATATTTATAATATTAAAGTTGTTTCATGTGGACATAATTAAAAAAGAAAAAAATGTAACACAAAGGACCATATAAATATTTATCCTTGTTTGACCTTGTTTCTAAGTTACAGACATTTCTATGTTTTACTAATTCTCTTTAAAATCGAAGGTGGTAGCGCACCTTCAGACATTTCTGTCTTTGAAAGAAATGCTTCAAGCTTAAGCTTGGACCACCTTAAGCTTGAAAATTTTCCAAGTATTCAAGCTCAAGATGGCATTTCCTTTAAAGACAGGAACATCTGAACTTTAATTACAGTGACCATTACCTCTAATGTAATTTCTTCATCTTTCATTGGTTCCCAGTCCATTTCCTCATACAAAACTTCTCGGTTCGTTCGTTCTATTAATTTATCTTTTGTCATATTACTGACACATAGTTCCCTTTTCTGTTGAACATGTAAGTCATTTTTTAACTTAGCATTCCTTTTATATATTGTTTCCTTCAAGACTCTGTTATGTAATCTCTTAAGTCGAACTTCCGTATTCTTATGAATGCTTGTCGATTCAAAGTTTTTGCTATCTATAATATACGTACAAAATAGTTTTCTAAATATTACTAGAAAATACTTTCTTTGAAAACATTAGAGAATATAAAGTTTCGTACTTACAACATGAAACAGGCAAAATCTTGTTGAGTCCTTCTGAGGGTATTTCAGTAATTATAGAACAGTCTTCATGTTTTTGCATTTCATGATGCAAACTTTCTCTTAATTTTTGCATACGATCTTGTGCCAAATTTTTCTTTGTCTGGTAACTACGCTTTGGCTTAGCATCATATTTACTCCAATCAGCACTTCTTTTATTTGGTATATTCTTCTCTTGTTTTCTTGAAGTTTTCACTAATGTTTGTTTCGTGATTTTTAGCTCTTGCTCACCTTTTAAATCTTTCTTTAATATTTTGTCTGGAACAAAGGTACCTGATTTTTCTTTAATTTTTTCACAAAGAATCTTCATTTGTGGTGTAAATGTTGTTTCATTATTACTTTCATTTGAAAATATAATTGCTTTGTTATATCTTGACCATGTTGAAGAAGTGCTTCTTGGGGATGAAATTACATTATTATATTCTCTCAATTTTGAGTATTGTTCTTTTGGTGATGAAACAGTTGTTTCATTACCTTTAGTCAGTTCCAAAAATTTGCTTAAAGATGGAGAAGTAAAATTATATTCTTGTTCTTTACCCAAAAGGTTATTCTTGATAGCTGATTTTGCCAATTTCTTCTGGAGTATTTTTTCTCGTAGTGCTTTCATTTGTGGTGTCTCATCTTCTTCCACTAAAGGCATTTTTTTTTAATATCATTAGAAAACATTAATATTTCCTAAATATTACAAAGAATATAAGGTCTTATACTTACAACAGGAAACAGGCAAAGTTTTACCGACTCTTTTTAAAGATTTCTTATCAATTATAGAACAGTTATCTCTTTCATATTTTTGTATTCCATAATGCAAATTTTTTCTTAAATTCTGCATCGGCAATTCTGCATGTGCAAGATTTGTATTTGTCTGATTATTTTGTTTTTCCTCTACTGTCCTCTTTGTTTTCTGAGAAGACTTCCTTTTTACTTGAGAGATCTTCCTATTATTTAATGATTGCTGTTGAGATGTTTTATTTTCAACAAAATCATATTCAGGTGTTCTTGCTCTAGAACGTTCTTCTTCTTCATGATAATTTTTACGTCGTTTCTTAATATGTTCTGAGGGCTGTACAATATGTTGAAATTAGAAGAATATAAGAATACAAATAAATATCTACAATATACATATAATGGATACATATATATATATGTATATATATATAACTATATGTATATATACATATATAACATATGTGTGTGTGTGTGTGTGTGTATATATTATATAATACAGTAATAAAATAAATTAAAATACCTTATTATTAGCTTGTTCTAACACAGGCTCTTTCCATGTGGATTTATTTGTTTTTACATTAAAGTAATATATCCTATCTGGGTGACTCTTCGAGCTGACAATGATCCAATTCTTCGGAAGTTTACTCTTTTTCATATTGAATATTAGATAGAACTACAAGTTATAAATTATGTTATTCGTCAATTGTATCAGACCCACAAACGATTTGTCATAAGATAAACACACTACGATACAAACAGATCACCATGAAATAGAAAATTCATATAATATGTAAGATACACTAAAGCCTATCAGCAGAGAGTAACCTGAGAGCGGCCAATACGACATTTTCTGCAACACCGACTTTCCGCACTGGGAAAGGACGCCATCTGCATCCATTTTGAGAGGGGAACTACGATAGTACATCCATTTTCAGGTCTCGGTGGTAAAATCTGCATATGGTGGAAGTCCATGCTACATCCACTTTCAGGCGGTTTATGTTCGTGCTGCAATGACAGTTGCCATCTCTATGCCAGACTATGCCCGGTGGTCTAAAAAGAGCGGGGAAGAGGGGGCGAGGAGCAGAAAAAATAAAAGTACGTATTAAATGTTAAATCTTCGAATATATATCGCCGTATCAAAGTCTCTTCTATAATAAACAATTTGACATGTATGGAGACGCATGATGTATCGTTGTCCGCGTCCCGTTCACTTCGTCTTGTTTTTTAATTCAGCATCCCGTCCGCTCCGGACATTCGCTCGTGGCACTGACAGTGGCCGTCGGTGAGCATTCGATCCGCTCGGAGGAGCATGTGTTATCATGTAATTAACGTGACGAGACTCCGATTATAAATATCCCGCGAGTCGACGAAATATTGGAACTTTTAAAAAAAGCATCAAAGAAAATCACGTTAATGTTGTCATGGGTGAAATCTCACCCCGGTATATATTTTCTTATTTTCGAAATAAAAAGAGCCAAACGAATGCAATTAAATGTTATTTATCATCATTGAATATTAAATGAAAAGTAGAAGAGTTATTGTCCGCAGCGGATAATCTCCCTATATAAAATGTCGAACTGAAACATATTAAAAAGTATTGACATTTTGAATACGTCTGAATTCTGCTTTCTGATCCGAAGAAAGGGAAAATAAAAAGTATTAGTTCCCATTAAATTTCACCGCGCTAAATGCGAGATGGCAGTAGTGAATGCTTCGCATTAAAGCCGATATCGTTAGCTACTTTTCTTTTATTTGCAAAACAGGCTGTAGAATTATTTGGCAATATTGTCCATTCATCACAATCCCTATTGTCTCGAGTAGCGTATAATGCGCGTAGAAATTGCACCAGCGCACGCCGAGCTTGAGGTATCCTCGCTCGCGTGCCTTTGAATATCGCGACCGCGGTTGTCAATATACGCGTTTCTACTCACGTTGCTAACAAAGAAAACTTAAATTCTCATTTCGCCAAAGTATCGCGAACGTAAGCTTCGTCGTGACAGAGCTATAAAAGAGCGTGAAAACTTTGCCCCGCTCCTCTCTCTTTGCGCTCCCTAAGGGGGACCGGTTTCTGATTGTCTAATCTTTCCTCGCGTGCATTCGCGTCGCGAATATTTCACTCGTAGATATCGATAATCTCACATTTTCGCGACTTTTCAGACGCAATCGCGAAAAGCACCGTAAAAATGGTTGGACGAGTCAATAAATTTTCACACGGTTCTTACTCCTCACCGATCGAGTTTATAGAGTCCGTTTCGCAGCGCGCAAAAAGTTTCCACCGATGGCGAGTAAAACTTTCGTTAATTGATGTAAATATCGCCGTTCTAATACCGCGTATCGACCGCGTCGCGGAAGTGTGATGAAAGTGTAGCGATCACTGTGGGACGAGCTGCAAGATGGATGTTGCGCGACATGGAGAGCGGCAGCGGACATGGGCGGACATTGGTGGATCTGACTGGATGCAACAGGACATCATCAATATCATCATTGGTGAGTGTCTGACTCAAAGCTCGCAGAAAGAACTTCTATTATTACTTTATTATTACTTTTATTATTACATTGTGCATGCCGCAAATTTGTATTGATTCTTGTAACGAAAAATATATTCCATGAATTATTGTCCTATATTATTGCCATATATTGTTGCCACATATTGTTGCTATATATTGTTGCCATATATTGTTGCCATATATTGTTGCCGTATATTATTACCATATATTATTCCCATATATTGCCATGCATTCTCGCCACATATTATGGCCACTTGAAATCGCGCGAGCAATCAAGAAAACTGAATTTATCAGTAATCGCAAAGGCGTGGCAGACGTCACAAATGGATGTTAGCAGCCGGTTTCAGGGTTGACCGATAACAATACTGTTGCTGCAATTTAACTTTAAACAACAGCGGCCTCAGATCGCAAGAAACTTTTTATCGCGGACTAACCTTTCGAACGGAATGTTCCCGAGAAGCGCTCTTGAGATAAATGGAAGTTATAAGCGAACCTCATCGATAGCATATTTCACCTTCGATATCTCCTAAAGGTCTCAAGATACAGGAACGCTCTTTTGCAATATAGTTCTATATCAACCTTACTTTGACCATAAAGCTCGACTTTCAATTCACAGTAGAAACGGAGATATTAACATCAAAAGTTAAACATTTTAACTTACTATATCTCCTAAACGGTTCAAGATACAGGAACGCGCTCTTGCCACAATGTACTCCTATACCAACCCTAATCTTACCACGAATTTCCACTCTCAATTCCCAGTAGAAGCAGAGATATCAAAGGTACAAGTTGGAAAACTATAACTTTCGATATCTCCTAAACGGCTAGAGATACAGGCCTGTTTCTTGCACCAAAATGTAGTCCTCTAAAAACCCTACATTTCAACATTAATTACGACTGTCAACTCCTAGTAGAAGCGGAGATATCAACGGAAAAGTTGGAAAACTTTACCTTTCGATATTTCCTAAACGACTACAGATACAGACCTGTTTCTTGCACCAAAATGTAATGCTCTAAAAACCATACATTTCACCAATAATTAAGACTCTCAACTCCCAGTAGATACGGAGATATCAACGGAAAAAGTTGGAAAAATTTAACCTTCGATATCTTCTAAACAGCTAGAGATACAGGCCTGTTTCTTGCACCAAAATATAGTCCTCCCATAACCCTACATTTTCCCGTAAATTACCACCCTCAAATCCCAGTATAAGCGGAGATAACGACGGAGAAAGGCTGGAAAATTTTAAACTTCGATATCTCCTAAACGGATAGAGATACAGGCCTGGTTCTGGCACAAAATCAAAGTCCTCTCAAAACCCTACATTTTGCCGTAAATGGCGACTCTCTACTCCCAGTAGAAGCGGAGATATCAACGGAGAAAGGTTGGAAAACTTTAACCTTCGATATCTTTTAAACGGTTAGAGATACAGGCCTGGTTCTGGCACCAAATCAAAGTCCTCTCAAAACCCTACATTTTCGACTACATGGACGACACTGTACTCCCAGTAGAAGCGGAGATATCGACGGAGGAAGGCTGGATATCGACGGAGAAAGGCTGGAAAACTTTAACCTTCGATATCTCCTAAACGGTTAGAGATACAGGCTTCGGACTGGTACCAAATTAAAGCCCTTTCAAAACCCTACATTTTGGACTACATGTACGACTCTCTACTCCCAGTAGAAGCGGAGATATCGACGGAGATAAGGTTGGAAATCTTCAACCTTCGATATCTCCTAAACGGTTAGAGATACAGGCTTCGGACAGGTACCAAATTAAAGCCCTTTCAAAACCCTACATTTTGGACTACATGGACGACTCTCTACTCCCAGTAGAAGCGGAGATATCGACGGATGAAGGCTGGATATCGACGGAGAAAGGTTGAAAAACTTTAACCTTCGATTTCTCCTAAACGGTTAGAGATACAGGCTTCGGACAGGTACCAAATTAAAGCCCTTTCAAAACCCTACATTTTGGACTACATGGACGACCCTCTACTCCCAATAGAAGCGGAGATATCGACGAATGAAGGCTGGATATCGACGGAGAAAGGTTCGAAAACTTTAACCTTCGATATCTCCTAAACGGTTAGAGATACAGGCTTCGGACAGGTACCAAATTAAAGCCCTTTCAAAACCCTACATTTTGGACTACAATGACGACCCTCTACTCCCAATAGAAGCGGAGATATCGACGGATGAAGGCTGGATATCGACGGAGAAAGGTTAGAAAACTTTAACCTTCGATATCTCCTAAACGGTTAGAGATACAGGCTTCGGACAGGTACCAAATTAAAGCCCTTTCAAAACCCTACATTTTGGACTACAATGACGACCCTCTACTCCCAATAGAAGCGGAGATATCGACGGATGAAGGCTGGATATCGACGGAGAAAGGTTAGAAAACTTTAACCTTCGATATCTCCTAAACGGTTAGAGATACAGGCTTCGGACAGGTACCAAATTAAAGCCCTTTCAAAACCCTACATTTTGGACTACAATGACGACCCTCTACTCCCAATAGAAGCGGAGATATCGACGGATGAAGGCTGGATATCGACGGAGAAAGGTTAGAAAACTTTAACCTTCGATATCTCCTAAACGGTTAGAGATACAGGCTTCGGACAGGTACCATATTAAAGCCCTTTCAAAACCCTACATTTTGGACTACAATGGCGACCCTCTACTCCCAATAGAAGCGGAGATATCGACTAATGATGGCTGGATATCGACGGAGAAAGGTTAGAAAACTTTAACCTTCGATATCTCCTAAACGGTTAGAGATACAGGCTTCGGACAGGTACCAAATTAAAGCCCTTTCAAAACCCTACATTTTGGACTACAATGACGACCCTCTACTCCCAATAGAAGCGGAGATATCGACGGATGAAGGCTGGATATCGACGGAGAAAGGTTAGAAAACTTTAACCTTCGATATCTCCTAACGGTTAGAGATACAGGCTTCGGACAGGTACCAAATTAAAGCCCTTTCAAAACCCTACATTTTGGACTACAATGACGACCCTCTACTCCCAATAGAAGCGGAGATATCGACGGATGAAGGCTGGATATCGACGGAGAAAGGTTAGAAAACTTTAACCTTCGATATCTCCTAAACGGTTAGAGATACAGGCTTCGGACAGGTACCAAATTAAAGCCCTTTCAAAACCCTACATTTTGGACTACAATGACGACCCTCTACTCCCAATAGAAGCGGAGATATCGACGGATGAAGGCTGGATATCGACGGAGAAAGGTTAGAAAACTTTAA